ATTTCCACGGGGAGACTGCCAACCTCCAACCCACCAAACCAAACCAACCACACAGCAGAGGGAATTTGAAAAGGAATGTAACCTCAGCATTTCCGTCCATTGAGGTCACTTTGGTTAAGTATTCATGGTAGCGGTGTTTGTTTGGCTTTAATCATGGGAAGAAGTCTCCCCATACTCCATTGCTGCATTTTTGCCTTGGCTAACATTGGAAACACATTTATGAACAAAGCCTCAACCAAGATTTGCTGCGTTAGTGGAAGGGTGTGTTCTGGAACGGCCTATTGTCATACATTGGCATTCGTTGGATGCTACACCATTTTGAAGCGGGACGTCCAGATATATCAAGGCAAGCATGTTCACGTTCTATTGCTCTCCAAGTCATTTCAATGCTAATTGCCAGAGCTCCACACGGCCCCCCAAGCTCTAGCCTCCAGAAATCCTTCACTCCCAAACCGGGTGCTAGCTGACCAACACTATCCAATGTGTCGCGGGATTAGAAGACTTCACCGCGAAGTCGTTTGAGCACAAGCTGTGATTCAAGCTGTGATTCGGGTCCGGGGGGAACCCGAAGGCCCTAAATCGAGACCACGAACCTTCTGACGGATGGGTGGAAGAGTTAAGTTAAACCTTTTGCAGAGGGGTCAACAGCAACCAAGTTTTGAACCTTGGAACTTTGAATCTCTTGGCCTCTTCCATTTACCAGCACTGCTTAACCCACCATTTTGCCCTTTGGCCCCATGGGATCATTTCCCCTTTCAACTACCCAAACCACTTGCTGTTGTTCAGGGAATAAGGGAATGACCCTAATAGACCGTCCTGGTGGTTTCCTTAGAGGGGACCGGGACCCCTAGGCTCATTCAACCACATTCCCTACTAAGGCCTCGTTGAGGGCCATCCTTGGCTTATCCGAGATCCTGGTTTATCCCGGCATAGCCTCCCCAAGAGCGCCCTCCTTTCAAGGTCCATATTGCCAGAGCCTTCTGCTGCCCTAAGTTTCAAGGGTTTTTGAATCCTCCTCCAGCAAGACCATAACTTCTTCCACCCCTCCGCACAATTTTCCGCGCTAGGAGCTGGCCCGTCGACTTGCCGAGGAGCTGGCAGGTCCGGATGCGGAGGCATCCGCAAAGGCCATGTCTCAGTTGTTCAGTGGCACCAATTCCTTGTCCCTTTCTTTTGGTGGCTGCCCCGCTAAAAATGGTCCAACCCCCGAAAAGGGTTCCCTTTTTTTCCAGGGTCACTGAACAACTGAGATGTGCTTGGCTGCAAGTTGGTGGCGTCTTGAGACCTTGCCCTACGGTTTTACATGGAACCCGACAAACCTACCATTTGTAGACGCATCTCGTTTTGGGGGACTTCCTTTTTTGGGGTTCCAGTGTGTTTTCTGGACGTCATCAAATTTTCCCACTGACCTGCAAAAAGTCAGCTGTTTTTGTTGCACATGGGGCAATAGCCAACAAGCAGTCCTGGGCAGTGGAGTCGATTCCCTCAGGGTTGCACCATAGCCGCTGAAACATGGCGAAACCACTGTTGTTTATCAGTATTCTGTTGTTTTTCGTTAAAGGGGGGGGCATGTCTGGTTGTATATTTCTCACCCGACAGGAAGGGGTTGTTAGATTTTATGTTGGAATCCGCGTTTGCGATGCTTCTACACCACGCCCCCACCCAGTATCCCGCAAGAGCAGCTCGCCAGTGGATCCCCAGAGCTGCTCGCCAGTGGCTCGCCAGTGGATCCCGCCGAGTATCCCGCCAGAGCGGCTCGCCAGTGGATCTCGCCGAGTATCCCGCCAGAGCAGCTGGCCAGTGGATCCCGCCCAGTATCCCGCCAGAGCTGCTCGCCAGTGGATCCGCCGAGTATCCCGCCAGACGGCTCGCCAGTGGATCCCGCCGAGTATCCCACCAGAGCAGCCCGCCAGTGTAGCTCACCAGTGGATCCCGCAAAGTATCCCGTCAGAGTGCTCAGACAGACAGACAGACAGACAGACAGACAGACAGACAGACAGACAGACAGACAGACAGACAGACACGCAGACACACAAAAACACAGACACACAGACACGCAGACATGCAGACACACAGACACACAGACACACAGACACACAGACACACCGACACACAGACACACAGACACGCAGACACGCAGACACACAGACACACAGGCACACAGACACACAGACACACAGACACACAGACACACAGACACACACAGACACAGAGACACACAGAGACACCCAGAGACACACAGAGACACACAGAGACACACAGAGACACACGCAGAGAGACACACAGAGACACACAGAGACACACGCAGAGAGACATACAGAGAGACACACAGAGAGACACACAGAGAGACACACACAGAGAGACACACACAGAGACACACACAGAGACACACAAACACACAGAGACACACACACACACAGAGACACACACACACAGAGACACACACACAGAGACGCACACACAGAGACACACACAGAGACACACACACAGAGACACACACACACACAGACACACTTCAATACCCCAAGGCGTGGTTTGGTACATTCGTGTACGTCGTGCAAGAGGGGAGAGGAGATACAGGTTCGACGGCTTCATTTCGAGTTGGCTTCCGACCGGTGGCTTCCCTCTAGAATCAAAGAACGTTACCAGGACAAACAAGAAGCACACACAGCGGCAAAAAAGGTGGCCAAAAGGACCTTCAGATTCACTGCAGGCGCAGGTGTCCACGTCTGGACACCCTTCCCACCTTTGGCAGCAGCTTCATTGCGTGCAGTGTGTCACAGGTGTTGCACGCCCCTGCATTTATTCTCAAGATATTCTTAGACTCTGCACACACACGCCCCTCGAAGGGGGCAACGGGAGGAGCAACCCTAAAAAAACACGCCGCCAGTGGATCCCGCCAAGTATCCCACCAGAGCAGCCCGCCAGTGGATCCCTCCGAGTATCCTGCTGAGTTGGCTTGCCCATAGATCCCGCCGAGCATCCCGCTGAGCATCCCTTGCCGGTGGATCCTGCCGATCATCCGGCTCGCCAGCATTCGCCAGTGGGTCCCGCCAGTATCCCGCCAGAGCAGCTCGCCAGTCTGGTTTTGCTTAATGTCCCGCCCGGCGCACAGTTGGGTTTACATTTCAGGTTGGCGTCTTCGTGTTTTGAGTGTACCCTGAGGCTCGGGCAGGGTGATGCTTTTGTGTTGCTTTGGGTTGTGAATAAAAAAGCAACTTTGTTTAACCCCCCGTCGTTTTTTTTTGGAAGGGGCTTGGCTTTTGTGAGCGGAACCGATGTTTGAGTTCTAGAGATCGGCTCGCAGACAAGTGGAGTTTGACACACACACAGGTGGATAAGGCTCTCAATGCAAAGCTTGTTGAGCAGTCATAGGCCCCAAACCACTCGAGAATCATGCTTGAACTCACACAACCAGGTTCACGGAGGTAATCAAGCTCGTGAGTTTGGAGGGTGGGGATTGCGCGAAGCGATGTATTTTTTCTGATCAACGCTTCACCCCCCTGAAGCAAATCTGAAACGATGCTGGACCTTGTTTTTTTTAGCTGTCGCACCCTGCCTGTGCCAAACCCATTTTCCAAACGGCTTGTGCCCGCAAAATGAGCGAAGTTCTAGTTGTTGCCCCCTTAAGACGGCCCCAAAGGGTTATCCTGTAGTTATCCTGGCACAAGAAGGTCATCCTGGGAGCAAAATCGTCCATATCTGTTGATTTACCGGCGGGAAATCAAAAGGGGGTGACCAAGGTATGCAAGAGTCACACCCATACTCCGCCAGGCGCGAGCGCAGATCTACGATGAAGATCTGGACTGGGCTGCCGCGGGGAAATCCAATCGGAATTGTCAAACCGCAGGATCCTTTTTCAGGTTCTGCGTTCATTTCTTGGAGGGTAGCTCCTGGAGCCCATCTGCCTCCGGGAAAGCAGTGTAAGAGGTTGGAGTAAACGGATTCCGATCGCTTGCGTCAAACGACCATGATGTGTGTTGCATCCTAGTACCATTTGTTGGAGCTCAATTAGGGTTCCTCCAACAGTAGCAGCTGACACGAGAGTTTTGGTGGACCATGCAATGTGTTTCTTTTGCGGACGCTCCCTGTCTACTTTGGAAAAAGGCAAAAAGGCAGTCAGTGACTCAGTAACGCCTGTTTCCTGGGTCCTAGTTTTTCCTGCAGCAGCAGCGCAAAAACGGGGCCCTTGTTATTCCAATGGAACTCCTCCGCGGGTGCAGGGAGGCTATGCCCATTGCGGAGAACCCCTTACGCGCCCGTCTCGGCTTCCTGGGTCGACGGTTTTGGCAGGCGCTGGCAAGACAACTGGCCGAGCAGGAGCAAGCAGATCTGGAATTTGCAGTCCCTTGGCCGGCCTCAAGCTACTTAAGACCCCAACCTGGGGCATAGGTGTCCTTTTTAGGTTAGTGTGGTTATAAATAGAAGGCACTGGTTTAGATTGGTTTTATTCCATTTACCAGAGCCATCTGTTTTTCCAAAAGGACACCTACTGTGGGTGGACGAAATCCTGCACCACTTAAATCAACGAGTTAAACAAGGGTGTAGAAGGACCCCCCGCTCCCCATATTCAATGTTGCTTTGATGGGCTCTAAAGGTGGTGCAGGATTTCGTCCATTCAACTTCTTTTCCTTCAGCGTGTTGCGTGCAACCCAATGCTGCGATGGTGGTGCAGGATTCTGTCCACCCACCGTATGACCCAGGGTCTCCTCTGAAGAACATGTCAGATTGGAAGGTAGACGACGAAGAGTGAAGCAGTATCTCATCATAGGTTTCTTGGTGTAGAGTCGGGACAAGAAGCGGCCATGTTGGTAGGTATTTTGGTCTGCTTGCACACGTCTATGCACAACGCATGGCCGCTTGGGACGTCTCTGGAGGGCTGGTTGCACGTAAGCCAGAATTGAGGGCAAAACAATCAATACACTTGGGATTGCCAAGAGGAACCGGATGATTCCAATGAGGTTGTCTGCAAGTTTCTTTGACTCACATATGTACGGATCCGATCTCCTGAAATAGCAAAGCAATGCTCGCGGAAACGATCATGTAAACACACTCTGCGTTTGTGGTTTCGTGCATGTTTGGCCACGTGTACGCTGGCTGTTGGCCTTATGCCGCAACCCTGGCTGGGGCGCAATGCCGACTTAACATGAGGCCGAAGTGGGATCAACCAGACTCCTTTTTCGGCTTGGCATTGCTGAAGGGGTGCTACACAAGGGCCATTGGTGGCAATTGGTGGAAGCCGCTGGCCGTGAGTCTAGACCACCCTCAAGTCTCCAACAAGTTTCTTGAATCTGGGTAGACCAATGATGGGCAGACTCCTGCTGGGTGGTTTCTCCCGGTTTGTTCACGCATCCTACCCCGGTGTTGGGCTATGAGGCTCCGGCGAAGGCAGTCTTTGCCGTGGACGATAGCCCGCCGACAAAGAAGCGACGGGCTCCTAGCACCTCGGCGGTCTCCGTGTGTTTTGAGCCCACGTAAAATGAGGGATCTTGCCCATGATGTAGGCCAAAGAACTTTGGTTGCACAAGGGCTCCCATTTGTGGTTTCCCTGGAAAGTGGGAGGTCATGACTCGGTTTGGTGTCCTTGCCGCAGGCACGGATCTGGATCCAGTACTCTCCGACACCAAGGAGGAGCTCTCAGACATGGCCAAAGAGGAGGTGGAGAACATGCCGGAGACTCAGTGAAACATTTTGCCCAAACTCGTGGCTGCAGATCCTTTGGTGCATTTTGCCAAGGGATGCCAAGGGATGTTAGGACTTGAACTTTTTGCCAACCAATGGGTTTTCCGTTTAAACCACTAAAAGTCAGTCACTTTTAGCAGTGGAGCAGATTTCGCAACCGAGAATCTTTTTCGGCTGGTTGGAGGGGGTGGGCCGGTGGACTCCTTCAAAGTCAACACAAGAAAGAGCTCGAGACCCAGGTCATGCACATAGATTTAAGCCTCCAGGGGGTAACCTCAGCAGCGACCCTGGCCGGTACACCAGGAAAGATGGACAGGCTGTCGAAATGCTTGGTTGGGATTGCCATCCCACGATCAAGCATTGTTTGATGATTAGGTTTGCGTAAGCCCATGCTAGTTAGCTGATCCCATGCAATCCCCTTCGTCCGTTTCTAGCAATGGTTGCAACTACGTTCTGCTGAACAACTTCGGACAGAGTTTAGATGCAAGTTTCAAGTAGCCGTTGATCAGCAGTGAAATGGGCATTAGAATATGCGATGCTAAGCAATGTGCAATCTTGTTTTAATAGAGGAGGGCGTGCAACCATGCAAGCGTCGTACAGAGTAGATTCTGAGATTGAACGCAAGCTGGCATTTCATACCGTGCCAATGGCCCACACGCACACACACACACACACAACTACACCCACCCACCCACACACACACACACACACATAGACACGTGGCAATGTGTCGGATTTGGCTTTCTTGCTCCCCGCCCCCTCATATTAGGATGGACCCCAAAACAGATGCCCCCCCTGAAAAAAGAAAGGTGGCTGCTCAGAATGCTGGTTTTCTGGGCTTCGGGTGAATTTGCAGAGACATAATTGTTGATTTTCCGTATGAAGGGGTTTCCCACCCCCTTTTTCCCTCACCGCCTCCCATTGCCCCTGCCTTAACCAGATGTACCCAGGCGACCTCTAAAGGGGAGCCAAAAGCACCCACTTCGTTCTCCCCCCATTTGTTTTTCCATGGAATCCATCACTGGAAAGGGGACGTCTCCGACCGGTCCCAAACTCCGAGCCACCGAGCCGAGCGCACGAGGTGGTCTCGCTGCCTGCGGGGGGAGGAGCTCTTGGACTCACTGCCGGCGAACGACAACGCGTCCAGCGAGGCGAAGCTTCGGGCGATCCAGAAGCCGATTGAGCGCTGGTGGAAAACTGAGCGGGGAGACGCTTTTGGGTTGGGTATGTGTGCCCCCCCAAAAAACAAAGACAAATAAGAGAAAAACAAGCAAGCCAGGTGGTTTATTAGCTTTTGATTTTTGCCTTTGACCCAAGGTGTAGGAGTAGTTACCCCTCGACTGGCTCGAAGTCTCTCGATGTAAGGTTGGCCACGTGTGTTACAAACAAGACCCCTACTTTTAAAATCCTTGGCCCATGGTGATTTTGCAAAGTAGGCAGCTCACTCCAAATCCGAGCTTTCAACAATTCCAGCTCCGAATCAAAGGCGAATGACCCACCCAGTTGTTCAGTGAGTATCCCTTTGTTTGGCAGGTTCTACTTCCCCATCTCCAACCTGGGCAACCCAAAACACATCGCTTTCGACCATTTTCCTTCGGAACAGGTCACTGAACTGGTAAAACCGGCTGTAGTACATCTGGACACGTGCAGCCTGCCAAGATAAAGTTGTTGAACCGGGGGAATACTTTTTCTTTAGAAGAACACGGTCTTTCAGGATCCCGACACAATTTGGTTGCTCCACCTCTTGGTTTCACTTCGGGGCATGCGCCGTAAGCTGGCTTTTGTCCAGCTCTCCGGCAAACTTTGTTGCCATAGGGCGTTGTCACTGGCTTCCAGTTGCTGAAATGAATATGTTTTGTATTTCCCTTGTTGCTTTTAAAGGGGGTCTATAACTGCTGGGTGTTTCAAATTGTTTTTCCAGCGGGCTCGAGCAAATGCAGGCTGGTGCCCAGGCAAACTGACGGCTCCGTCGCAGGCGTACGCCGTCCACGCGCTGCACACGCTGATGTCGGAGTTTCGGCGGGCGCCGGTGGCGATGATTCGGTCCGCTTTTCAGCAGGTGGGGATGGCGGGGATGCATCGACCCATGGGATTTGGGCGCTGAGTATCCAAGTGTTATTTTGTGTTTTTGTTCCTGGAAACCGCGAGGAAATGGTTAGCCTGGCGCCCAGTTGTTCCCAGAACATCCAATTTAGAGAATGAATGGTGTGATTGACGCTTTCCAGTACCCTCCGAAAACAAATGTGGAACCTGAAAGGGACCTCATAGTTTGGACCACTTCCTCTGACAGGAACCCTTTCCAGGTGACTTCTAATTCGCAGGGCCCAGGTAGCGATGGAAGGCCGAAGGTCTGGGAGCTCGAATCAAGTGGACACTCCCCCACCCCATTCTGAACCCAGGTGGACCCATTCTGGTTCCGACCCATTTATCTAAGGCGAACTGCATTCCATGGGTTTTCCCGGCATTCGGGGATCTCCATCTTTTAGCTCAACTCTGCCCCCACCCAAGAAGATACTTGAAAATTAGGGGCAATCGACTGCAATCGACTCCTGGAGCCCTTCAACCCCGAACGCTCTGTTTGAAACAGGTCTGGCGTCCCTTTTGTTTGCTGTTTGATCGGATTTCGTTTGTGGCCGTGACCATCATTCTTATAGGCAAACGGCTGATTTGGAGGATGCACCTCGCATGGAAAATTCACTCTTCACATGGACTACGTCCCCGAGTAGTGCCTTTTGCCCGTTTTTTGGGGAGGGTTTCCTTACTAAAGTGGACTACAGAAAAAAGGGTGCCCTTATTCTAACCTCTCCGCTGGGGGACTTAGTGGATCCTGCAGATGTAGTTTGCATCGCTTTTGGAAGTGACAGAGGAAGCATGCCGGGCCGGGCCTGGCTCGAAAGGCGCATGGCCAACACATTTTGCGTATTTTTGAGACGCTTAGAATGGCCCAAGTCTGGTCATACTGTGGATGAACGAAATCCATTTCGCACCACTTTGAAACCATACTTGAAACCATTGTTTGTGGGTATTTACGTTGGATTTCGCAACCATCCACAGCAAGATAAGGGTTTGTCTTTAAGGTGACCCTTGGGGTCGGGGAAGCCGGCGGCAAGGGTTCGTTTCCCCCCAAAGGCATAGGTTTTATGATGTTTTATGTCTTTCTTGGGGTACCCGGAACACTGGCGTTCAGGGCTCTCTGGAGAAAGATGGTGTTCCAGGACGCCCCCTATCAGGTTCCATGTTACTGGGTACTTGAAGCCTCGCTTGCACGGCCCGGGCCTGGTTCGATGGTGCTGATTGATTCAGTTTCCATACTCGGGGAGCCCAGGGTTTCCTTCTGGAAACTTGGACAGGCCGGAAAAGGGAACCTGAATACCACCACGTTCTGGCGATTTTGTCGCTGTGGCATCTGGTGGTACCTAGGTACCCTGTGTGACCTATAGACTGTTATCGCGAACTGTTCTTGTGTTGCTTCAAACTTTTTAGACATTCCACCCACAGCCTTCCACCCAAAGCCTTCCACCCAAAGCCTTGATGGATCCGTCTCCCGTTAGTCCCTTTTGGCGAGGTCGGGTACCTTCGATTCGTCAGGCGGGGACTTACAGCGAGGCCAAGGCCATCATAGAGGCGCGGGTTCCCCAACAGCATTGGAAAGTGAGTTCGGGTTCCCCGGCCTTGTCTGGGTGGCTATGGTGGCTCCCAGCCATCCGGTTCTTTAGCTTTTCAGATCCTTTTAGTGATTAGTGGTAGTTTCCATCTAACCCACTGAAAGTGAGTCACTTCTACCGGGGGATCTGAGGGCAGCCAGTTTTGTAAGCACTTAACACGTGCATCGCACCCCAGCTCCTGGATTGAGCCAAACAAGTCATTTCCCCGCTTCGTGCAGAACGCTTAATGGGAAGCCAATGCGCCGCTCACTCAAAATGAGCAGAAAATATGGCAAGAGCATCAACCACGTCGTCGCGATTGACTCCTGCCTTACTAACTGTTGATTTCTTCAGCTATGCCAATTTTGCTGTACAGCAGGAGATGCTCGCCAATTTGCAGCTCTCAGCAGGTGCCTGTGACCATATCATATGTTTAGAGCCGCACCGACCTTTACTATCTCGGGTTGTGAGTCCTGGATCACGGAAATCAGTGTTTCTCGGCGTGGAATCCAGACATTTACATCAGAGTGAGCTTATGCCACTCGGAAACCGCCGCTTTTGGCAGTTGTCCCATTCCCGGCATGTCTTTGTTTTTGTGTATTTACCCTACCTATTTCACACACACATATATATATATATATACAGATGCCGCGAAATCAGCCAGCCGCATGAAGCAACAAAGCTTAATAATCAAGCAGTTAACAAGTAAATACTTTTTTTGAATCGACAACGGAGACAATAAATGGACAATAATCAAAGCAGCACACAAAATGCATCTGTGTTTCTACATATACAAACGCGTATATATATATATATATATATATATGTGTTTGCACGTATGTCATATGCATATCCATACATACACATATATATATATATACAAATACGCACATTTACACACATATGCATGCATGTATACTTATATCTGCATGCCTGAATATACATATGTATATATATATATATATGTGTGTGTGTGTATGCATACATATCTACCCATATTCACAGTTCAGGCTCAGGTATGTATCGGCAAAGCCGCGCAGGGCAGTTCAGAAGTGACCTCGCTGAAGTCCAAGCGCCCGCCCAAAGCGGCGCCGCCCTGCGATGTGCCGCCGCTGCTGCAGAAGGCCGTCGGACGCTTCGGCTGTATTTTAGGCCGAAGACCATCTGAGCAGCGCACGAAACAACTGTGGGTGGTTGCAAAATCCATTTCGCAACACCGAAGAAACCCCACGGAATGATGATGTCCCTGCAACTATCCAAAAAACACATTGGTTTTCCATAGTGTCCAAGTGGTGCAGGATTTCGTCCATGCACAGTATCACCATTTGAGGGTACCCTGTACCGTTGATCTAAAGGTAAACTCAAGGGGCAAGCCAAACAGACAGAATCTCTCTTTTTCTCAGTTCATGGACCTTAAAATACATTTTTGTTGTTAACCACAAGTTGTTCCCCGTTTTTTTACCATCAACTCAGGAAGTGAGCCCATTCGCCATTTTAGTAGGTGGTTCTAGGCCAATATGCACCTGTACGACCATCTTGGTAGAACAGGATGTCAGTAGGTGTTGGGCGCTGCTCATTAGGGTTTGTTTTGTTTGTTTTTGAGGGTACCCCTCTTAGTTGCTTTCAAGCAGAACCAAAGGGAAAAGCACCCACCGTGGGGGAGCCAAAAGCCTTCTGTTCATGATTGGAGGCGGTAGGGCGGCTTGCCGAATCTTCACAAAATACTCAAACCAAGACATACCCTTGCTCCCACAAACTTACCACCTGTGGCAGGGCACCTGGAAGACCAATCTCCTCGTGTTTTTTTTTTTTTTTCTCCGGCTGTTTGGTCAGAAAAGTGGTTCCTATCAAAGCTGTGCTTTCTGAGCGAAACATTTCAATAGCTGCCACGGTTCCCTTTGAACCCGAAACGATGTTGCCCGTCCACAAGGCAACTCTTCACAGCGGCAGTTTCTGCGGACTGCTTCTACATCTTCACGAACCGACTGAAACACGTCTTGTTTACCAGGCAGAATGCAGTACAAAGCACAATTCTATTAAGTGCTTTGAAAGCTTGACTGAAACTAAGACATGTGTCTATACATGTTTTGTCTTACCCTCTGAGTTCGTTGGTAAAGAACAAACACAGGGACTTTGTTCTATTCCACTCAGGGAAGTTCTCCTAAGGGTCCAAACAGATTTTGGGGCCTTCAAGACGCAGACCCAGCAGCCTGGGGAATGGTATGGAGAAGCCTGGGTCCTAAGCCCAGCCCTATCATGAGGAAATCTGCTTTTCAAGCACTCCAATCCCCCATATTCTCGCTCTCCAAGCTCCTGGACTTCTTTTTCCTTAATTTTATTCGGTTTGGTGGCAAATAGGAAGTTCAGACCTTTTTGGCCAATCTACTCGATCGGACGTGAGTATTTGCTTACACTCCTATATATATATATAGCTTCCATTTGCTGAAATGCCGATTTGTTTTATTTTTCTCTTGGTCCAAAGGGAATCTCTCCCTGGACTAGTTTGCTTTTCAGGGGGCGAAACAGCAAGAAGCAAACAGACGATGCAGGACACGGGAAATCAGAGAGGCCCTGGTTTGTGTGGGAACTTGGGTCCCTCCAGGGTCGCGGGCCGCGGGCCGCGGGCTTCGCGGGTAGGAGGTGCAGCTGGGCGGCGAGGCGGTGTCGATCCACAAGGCCCTGGCCAAGCGGAAGCAGGTGCCGGCCACGTCGGCCACGTCGGCCACGTCGGCCACGTCGGCCACGTCGGCCACGTCGGCCACGTCGGCCACGTCGGCCACGTCGGCCGTGAACGGCGGGCGGAACAGGGGGGTTGGTGGGGGGGGGCAACAGCGGTGGATGCTTAGGCCCTAAATATTGCAAGAACCAGTCAAAGTGAATATGGCTGGTTTTTTGGCTGAGTCCGTTTGGGTGTGTGACTTGTTTGGCTTCTTCTGGAGGTACCCTATGACCTTGAGTCACTTGCAGTTGTTCCCTTTCAATTGTGTGGGTTTCCCTTTGTCAACTACCCTCCCACCGACCAACATGAAAGTGCGCAAAACCCCTTTTCAACAAAAAAGTTGTCTTGCTACGGGAGTCTGGGGTCTACTTTCATCTTCGGTTCGTTTTCCCCCCACGGACCTCTGAAGGAAGGCTTGGGCATTCCCAGCGCCAGTCGCTAGGTGCGGCAAGAGCGCGTGGCGCAGCTCAAGGCCGTCGGGGGTCTCGGCACCTGCGGCTGCTGCTTCGATGATGAGCTGCTGCCTGAGGCGGGCTGGTGGCACCTCTTGGGCCCGGGCGGGCCCGGGGACGGGGGAGTTGATGGTGCAAGCTAGTTTCCTGCAACATCTGATTTTGGGGTTATATCCTTGCAAAGAAGCTGGTTTTCGGATGTATCCTTTTTCCGACTACAGACTGGAGCTTTTCCCTTGAGGGGGCTGCTGTCCTCACGTGCCGAATGGTATTTAAGAAGGATGGCACAGCTTAGATGGTTTTGTTTTTTCCCCGATTTTTTTTCCCAAAGGTAGGCCTGCCCAAACTGATTCAAAGGGTGCCACAAATCCTTTGCAGGTCGCTTTAAAAGTGCAGCGGGGGGGGGGGGAGGTGAAATTCAAACACCAGACTGCCGGTACATGCGTTTTACGTGTTTTCATTTGCCATCATTTGCTTGGTGAAAAATGACTGCGCTAAGCAAGTGTTTGTCCTAATTCAGATGTGTTTTCCTGTGCAAAGCTGATTTGGACAAGCCTTACTAGCTGTGGATTTGGGGTTTTGCGACTTATCGTGGCCCTACTGAAGTCGCATTGCAAATCCAAATGGGGGTGGGGGGGTGGAACGACAAGTTTGCTTGTATGCTTGTTCCCTGTTGTTTCTGACTGCGCATGGCCATTGCGGGTGGATATCTGCCGTTGGATTGCACCCTTGACTGGGCAGTATGTTAAGATAAGTTTAGTTGCAGCTCACCCTGGGCCTTCCTCTTCGGGGCTATGTGAAATGTCAGCCTTCAGTTTGGACAGATTTGAATATGAACAGTTTTGTGCACGCCTTGCATCAACACATGCATCTGTGTAAAGGAAATCGTTCAGCCTCACACAAGGGGGGGGGCCTTCATTCTGGTTTGGCAACCCAATTGTTCAAGAAGGCTTTGGCAGTCGGCGGGGGGCCCTTTTTGTTTGGCGGGCTTTCAACGTGGACGATCCCACGAATGGACAATCTTAGCATGCCCAGCTTTACTGGGCAGCTTGGGGTGCATTTGGGTTCCTTTCTGATTTCCTTCCTGCCCGTACCCGCCAATGGGCACCCTTCCCCGTGCACTTCCCTTTGCGAGTGCAAGGGAAACTATGTACTTCTTTGTTTTCCCACTGGGGGATAGGTGAAGATTTCAGTCAGACACCAACCCCAGCTTTTTCCCAGCTGGGCTGTGGGGATGGGCTCCTTAAAAGATACATTTGGCGAATTTGAAACATGGCTTTTTCCGCCAAAACGAAGGGAAACTCCATTTACAAGGCAATGTTCAGGTGTATAATGTAAGGATCCCCGTCCCTGGGCAAATATTCAGTCAGAGACACCTGCGGCAAGCTTCCCGCCGTTTTTAGGAGGAGCTGCGCTGCACCGCTGCCAAGGGCCATGGCTTTTGCATCCCCTGCGCCGGGCGGCCCAGAGCTTTGGCAAGTCGGGGAGTCCTCCGCGCGATGGCGACGATTTCTCTTCTTTGAGTCGGAGAACCCTCAAAGATGTGTGGTGGACATCAGTCCCCCTGTAAACGATGTCCACCAAAATTTATCCTTGGTAGGGAGTAGGGACCCAGGCACATATTTTTCGAGAGGGTGCTCGTTTTCTGCTTGTGAGCCAGGGCCTGGGGGAGCCCTTATTTGGATTGGGGACTCATTACTGGGTGCCAAATGGCCATGTGTTTGACTTCCTGAAAAGGAACCTCTAGTTGAATATCGCAAGTCAAGCAGGCACAAACGCGGCAAAGTACGCTTTGGTTATTCTCAATTCTAGGCTTTAGAGGTTGCAGTTGTGAGGATGCCCGGAAGTTGGGATGCTTGAAGATTGCTTCTTGAGCTTTTTTGCATTGAGGAATACTTTGCTCATTGCCAGACGTAACTATATATTTGCTGGCTTACTATGTTTGGGGGAGTCCTTCATGTTCCTTTTGGACCAGCCAAAAAGCAACCTTTTTGCAGCGGTCAGATCCGTTTAGCCAAGGGCGAAGCCTTTGGCAGTTCAGGATTTGGCAGTTCTTGTTGGGGATACCAAGCTAAAATCCGGACAGTTGTTAAACTTCTATTTTGTGCATGTCTGACTCGGTCAGGGAGTTCTTGCCAGCTGTGTATGTTGTATATTCAATTTGCGCAACGCGCTATCTTTGGGGATTCACTGAGCCCGCCAATGATGAAAGCAGCATTCGGCGTGCGTGTTCTCTGAATGTCTCAATTTGGCCTTAGCAGTTGTTGCACAGTTGTACAGTTCACATCCGAGTTGTGGCATGTGCCTCGCCCGGCGGTGTTTTCATGCGTGTCCATTTGAAGCTGCGGCGGGCAAACACGTGGTTCCCTAGAGATTGCCGGGGACGGGGAGTCCCTTTTTCGGGTATCACCTGGGTCAGGAGACACTTGTTTGCAAAAAAGTCCTGGCACATTTGGGAAAGCTTCCGAGTTGTCCCATGACTACGGCTGGAGCCGAAAGGAATGGTTGTTGTCTCGGAGAACTCCTTGACACTTTCAAGCTGTAGCTTGTTCTTGGAGAATTTAGGACGCCCTATTCAAATCCATCTAGGAAATTGGAAGATTCATTCCCACGCTCCCCTTTGACCCTCAACTTGTGACTTTCGAGGTTATCTGATACCGGTCAATCTGGGGGCGGGTTTCTATTCTGGGTTGCGCAAAATAGATCCGTAATCCTTATGCCAGCTAGGATTGCGGATTAGAATTTAGGACCCCGCCCCCCATTTTGGACAAAACAAATAGCATGTTGTTAATTGTCCCAAAGGAAGGAGATATGTTTTTTTGCCGGACCACCCTAGTTGAATAGCGCAAGTACAGCTAGAGCAGAAACCCGCTGCTTGGTTGGCTACCTGGAACCTGCACTGCTTTGCAATTGTTTCCAATACAGCAAGTATCGCACATGGGCGTCCTTTCTGGTTTCAGCTGGGTTGAAATCACTTTGAAAGTGAGAACTCCCTGACAGATGAGAAACGTTTTCCAGGTACCCCACTTGAGGCAACACTTAGAGCAAACCAACCAGAGACCATGCCGCAGGTGAAGCAAGCTGCCATGGCCTTCTTTGGCCAAGGGCTCTTCACCTTGAACCTCAGCTCTGAAGCGCCCCTCGGCCCCGAAATCGAACGGCTGGGCCGGGCAAAGTCAACACTAGGTCCCCCAGTAGTGCCCTTATACTCTTTTGTGGGGAGGGTTCCCCTACCAAAAATAGACTACAGAAAAAAGGGTACTCTTATTCTAACCCCTCTGCTGGAGGACCTAGAACACAGAGGCGCCCTTTCCCAAACAAATCCGCAGGTTGGTTGCCCTCTGCCGGGCACTTTATGGGGCACAGCAACAGCAAATTGGAGCTTTGATGCCTTCCAGGGGTAGACAACACTGCCATGTCATGGGCACAAGCATGCACCCAAACGTCCAGCAAAAACCTCGGGGAACTGAGTTTCTTGAAGCCTGCAACACCACAATGAGTTCATACAAGGGGACCCACTTTTCCAAAGGATTTCTGGATCTGTCAAACAGGTCAAACTTGGCGGCATTGCTACGCCATTCTCAAAGTCAGCCCTGGACGAGCAAACGAGCAGGGTTATCCATTTGTTCCACGCAAACAGGAGGTTTCCAGCAGCCAGTGAAGGAAAGGGCCCACATATATGACCCCAAAGCCGGGGAAGTGGTCAGACCTTGAGGATGTCACCTTGCCACGCAGGTGTGCCCAAAGCTTCGAAAGCTTTTTCGCTACACCAGTTAACTTGGCAGTTGGGTGAAAGTAGATGGCACAAGGACCCTTTGGTTTAGTCATCTGGAATAAGCGTTTGGTCTCTCATCCAACGTAATGCGACCCAGGTTGCAACCTGTTTGGAGGTCGAAAATCAGCGCGGGCTCCCAACGCGTCACCCAAAAGGCCAAAAGGCTTACAAGTTTTGTGGCTCAAAGCAGTGCAGGATCAAGTCACTTGAGATCTTTCCAATGGATGCGGTGGTGGATTGGATTGAATTGGTGGTTTGGATTTGGATTTGAAGCCCTGGTTTTTGCAGAGGGTAAATGGGCGGTACCATCCCACCAAACCACCAAACCACCAATCCAAACCACCAATTGGAGGGAAGCTGAATGGAAGTGGACAGGAGGAAACATCTTCAAGCGCCCCATGTGCACTGTCATGAGCGTGGGAAAAAGGGTATTGAAGGATCAAAGCTTGCGACGTCATCGGACACATGCCCATTCGTCATGATCTCAGAACTTTTCCGGGGCTCCCAAAATGTTTCCTCCCTCACTTTAACCTGACCCAAACGGTGATGTTTAAATCCAATCCTTACGCACGCAACTCTGGAGCCCGCTTGGGTCTGCCATCAAAAGACTCGGAAACCGTGCCATGGTCAAAACTCCTGGGCCATCGATTCATGGCTCCCCCAGGAATTTGAAGCAATTTTGTTAAGGCTATAGGCAGGCGGGAGGCTAATGCCTACAAAGTTACTGACGCCCAAATCATTTTTAGGCGCAGGGCATTCCCTGCCTTACGGCTTGACTGCTATTGGGTTGGATCTTTAGACTTTAACTTTCTGGTTGACATCAAGTTGGGTTTTCCACTAACCCCCCCAACAAGTGAACAACTTTTTGCAGGGGGGTCGTTGCAACCAAGACGACCCCGCCCACACCATGCGAATGGGTCATTGGTTGCGTTAGGTTGTTGGGTTGGGCTGTTGAACTGTTGGCTGACCCCCGAGGGCCTCCTCCGCCGAGCCCAACTTGTCGGTGGCGAGCCTGCGGTGTTTGGATACCTCCAACTGCCCGGGGCACTTCTTGGACACCGCCATGCAGAAGGCGCGACACGCAAGAATCTCGACGAGCCGGTGGCTCGGGAAACTTTGGGCTGCGGAAAAAAAACAAAACGCCGCTGAAAAGTCAAGCGAAAAGTGGATCCGCCAATGTCCTTTTATGTGTATTTTGGGGGTGAAGAGAGATGGATTCCACGGATTTCAGTTTGGCGCTTTCTGTTTTGGCCGGTGACAGCACATTTTGTCCGCAAGGATACCCGGAAGAGTCATCAGAATTTGCACAGCAAACCTGTTGGGTTCTTAGAGAAGACCAAAGGACAACCAAAAGGGACTCAGCCCTTTACAGGGCCACCAAAAAGCAAGACACAAGGGGAGGCAATCATTCCTTGTCACATGGTTGGTTTCCGTGTTTTGAACATCCAACACGTGGTTCCCCCTTTTGGTGTCGTTCGGCTACAGCCAGGCCTTGCCCAGAAAAGACTACGCGCCTGGGAACGCACGAGAAGCTGGGATGTGCGTGGGCTCACGGTCCAACAGTCATCGTAAGAGTTGTGTTTGCCCGAAAGAGCCAACAGGGGGCGGGGCAATTTAATGTTGTGCATTTGCCAGACCCTTTTTTGTAGACCCAGATTGAGGGTCGTTTTAGTCTTGAGCCAGGACAGACATGCTGTATGTAGATTAGCGTGTGCTTGCATGCCAAACCCATGTTTCTGTATATACATGTATTGATACATGTATACGAGATTATTTTTCAAGTTCTATGTCGCTATGCATTTGCACCATGTATGTGCGTCAAGGGCCCTCTGCACATGCAAATAACTAGGCACATGGATATTTCCTGGGAGGGGGCCCAGCAAACCTCATGGAAAAACCGGCCAAAGGAGTTCGCCAAACAAGCGATGTCCTCGTTATAGATGTACCTTGTGGCCAGTGTGCCTTGGCCCCCCTGACAAGCATGGAACCCAAGTGGGGTCCCTTTCCGAAAATGACATTCCTCGAAAAGTTGGATGGCTGTTTAGGTTTCCAACTTGTTGTTGAGCAAAAGAGAACAGCTATCCAGTCTCCTTTTGCAAATCCTCCTTTGTGGAATCCATGAGGGCATGGGTCAATAGGCATTTGCTTCTTTGGGGAGACACCCAAAGGACACCCACCAGGTCTCCCAATCCCGTTTTGGACGATGTCAGCGCCTTGTGCCGCTCGTCTCGCAAGTGATCCGATCCCCATCGCACAGATCAGAACCTCATTCCACGTTAATTCGCGCCTCCCCCCCCCCCACACACACGCACACCCCAAACCCCCCACACCCTACACACCCCACACCAAGGTGAGGTACTCCCGGCGCTCGGCGGCACTGCAAGCTGCTGCCAGTGGCCTCAAAGACCTGGTCTCCTGCCCCCTGGCATCCGCTTTGGCCTTTTTCCCCCCAAGCTTTTTCCCCCCAAGGAAGCCAAAAGGAGCCTCCAGGACATGAAGGAGTTGGCCTCTACGGTTTTGGTGGTTTGGATGAATTGGTTGTTTGGATTAAGTGGCGGTTATTGGTGGCTTGGTGTAATGGATGGTTTAATGGCCTCGGTTTTTAGGGGTCCATGTCAATTTGGAGCAATTGGTGACAGCTGGCAGGCTCCCATGGCTCCAATCGGCTCGCAGCCGAAAGCGGAAAGGGAGGGTCAAAACGCAGGCCGACGGTTTAGGCAAACGTTGAGTGAGTCTTTGCGGTGATGTTTGAAGGGGAAGTATGGGGAACTCGGCAGTGGCCCTCTTAGTTTCTCTTTTGGCTTCTCTCTGCTTTGGAGGTCCGCCTGTTTTAAACGGGGCGGCTCGAAAAAATAGGGGGGTTCTCACTCCAAACTGGGCCCCAGTTTCCCTTTGACCTCCAACCAAAAACATCAACCCCCAAATGGGCACCGAGCCTCCAAGCGGGGAGGGGGGCTTTGGGGCAAGTTTGCGCTGCTTTTTGGCTTAAGGTTTTTTGTTTTGACTGGTTCTTGTCTCAGTTTTGTTTTAAGGATTTGTGTGTGTGTGTGTTCCAACTGATGGTTTGGCTGTGTTCGTTGCCTTTTTGTGGTTGTCCGTGGCGTTGGGTTTTTTTTGTTGCCCTTTGGCCCCCCTCTGGAGTTGATGTGGCTCTCCTTCCGTTTCCTCTTGAAACACCATCCAGCTCAAGGGTAGGGTTGATCACTTTTCGCAGGCGAAAAGTTTGCCTTCAAACAGGTTTCGAACGGAAGCCAACAATCCTTGACCTTTGGATCGAATTGTTTCGTTGGCGTCCCTTCGCACGGATGCCAATCTTCCAGATGCCGGGGTCTTGTTTTCGAGCAGTGGGTAGGCGGGGAAGGTGCCTCGGTGCCTTTGCCGGACAACTGTCCTACCTCTGAAATGGAGCCATGCCTGAAAGGGGGCTCTGGTTTTATCCATTTTTTTTAAATTCCTATTCAACCTTTAAAGGCCCCAAGAACTGGCTTGGAACTCGGCACGGATGGGCCGTGGGAAAGCAACAGCTGGTTGAAGTAGCCTTGCCCCCACGGACAGGCTCTTCATGCAGGTTTCAATGCGGCCCTCGAACGCCAATTCATCATCAACTCGCGTGCAGGGCAAAATCACTGGAGCCCCCCGACAGCTTCCAGACTCACAGAACCCAATGTAGCCTCAGACGACGCATGTTTTGGCACGAAGCTATGGGCCGGGATGTGGGGCCCACGGAGATGGCGTAGAGCTTTTTGTTCACAACAAGTCTGGCACCGGGAAATTGTGGGATTTGGAAGGAAGCTGGCAGAGGGATGTAGGAAGCTGGAAGGAAGCTGAACCATCCACCACAATCCTTTGTTCCTGGTTTTTCCCGGAGTGTTTCTTCTTGTAACATCAACCACCAAGAAGCCGTGGCCACTGAGGGTTTAGGAATCTCTTGCTTTCTGTATTGTTGAACATCCCAGCGGAAACAGGTGCGGTGTTCCTCCAAACTCCTCATTAATTGAGCAGGGGCTCCTCAAATCAAGGTTCCCATCTTGCTTGCCCAAAGGACCTACTTAAAGGGGCAGGGTACTTAGTAAGTGGTTAGTAACCACGGTTACAACCCACTTAGCATGGTTATGAGTCTCCTAAGTGGGTTATAGCTGGTTATTAATCACTTACTAAGTGCCCTGCCCCTTTAAGTAAGCCACTGCTAACTTGCCAACCTCAAACAGCAGGGTTGTCCCACAGGTCCCGTTGCTCAGTTGGGCCGAAATCTGTGGGCTTGTCGAAGTCGCAGTCGTCCAGGCCCTGGCTGCGACTTCATGGTGCAGATGTCGGACAAGAACGCCGCTGGGCACGGGGCGTGGGGCGTGGGGCAAGAGTCAAGTTCATAGGTGTCCTTTTTGGTTGTTTTGCTCGACTCCTGGTTTACGTGGTGGTTTAATCATCTACCAGGGAAATCCATCTATTTCCCCTAAAGGACACATATGGGGTTTCCGCCTAAAGGTGAAGTTTACTGGCCGATCGCCACTGTTGAGGTTCCAAGAAGGAAATGGAGGAAAGCGGAGGAGAATAGTAGCCGAGTCCCTCTGCTGAAAGGCCCGGTTCCAGAGCAGGGGCAGGTCACTTAGTAAGTATCCCCCTACTCCAAATAATGTTGGAACCTGATTAATAAAGCCCCCCCCCCTGAACAATGGAGGCGCCAAAAATAATGTGGGCTCACTTTTGGGACGTCCAAACAATGGAGGATTTTGGGGCCCAATTCCACTTTAGTATTGCAGCCACTTCCTTTTTGCAATACTACTTTAGTATTGCAACCACTTCTTCCTGAGCAGACTTTTGGGAATACTACTTTAGTATTGCAACCACTTCTTCCTGAGCAGACTTTTTGGAATACTACTTTAGTATTGCAGCCACTTCTTCCTGAGCATACTTTTTGGAATACTACTTTAGTATTGCAACCACTTCTTCTTGAGCATACTTTTTGGAATACTACTTTAGTATTGCAGCCACTTCCCTTTCAGTTCTTTCTGTAGCCATTCAACTGTCAAAGGGGTGTGCCACCAATTGAAAGGGCATGCTTTTAAGCAAGTGGGCCACCAATTGAAAGGGGACTGCTTTTGAGTAAAGCAACTGATAGCTGATTTTCTGGGAGGGGGTGTGGTCCCCTAAAAGAATGACATTATTGTGGTTCAGTGGGGTCTGTGAGGGGTACCCTTGTCCTGACGGTTTTTTTTTTTCATTTTTTAACACGGTTTAATAAAGAGTTTGCAGTTTCAGGGCTGGGATGGTTTTGAAATTTCAGAGGTTTGAGCTGGCGTTGGGTTCTGTGGTTGAGCAACCAATTGATGTTAGGTCAACATGGATTTTGGGTGACTGTTTGGGGGGATGGCTTTTTAAATTAAAATTGTTTTGATGATTTTTTTTTATTTATTTTTTTAAATTTTCCCCCCGGGCAAGAAACTTTCAATTATTCTGGTCCCCCTCAACAATGGGTGCGAACCAGAATAATAAAAATAACTTTCCATTAATATAGTCCAGTTGGTTACGTGCCAACATTACTGTCCTGTCTTTTGTTGGTCTATTTTGAACAACCTAGCTTTTCACAGTAAATGTCCCAAAATACTTCCCTGAATAAGTCAAGGGTTCGCATGACACCAACAAACAAAGGCGGGTATTCGGAGCAGGGGGCAGAATTAACCAACCGAAGAAGTGTAAGTGTCCGTGTCCAACTCTCAAAATACAGGACTGCTGTCCTGGTAGGGGGAGTTGGGAAATCTACTGGGCGGGGTCCCACCCCAAATCAACATCTGGCATTCTGAGAGGACTTTGGCTCTGAATTCTGCGTAGCCGGTCGCATATAGTCTTTGCCTTGGCAGTACATGACCGAAAAGGGTTGTGTTTTGCAGACCAAACCCAATGCGAATGACCTGGCCGGCATTTCCACCATGCACCTGGAAGTGTCCTTGCCAAGTGGGAAGGGCTGCTCCGTTTCGCTGCCTTCGGACGCGATCGTTCGTGAATTGAAGGTTGAGGCGCAACAGCAGTTTAAGCGCCGCTTTCTGAGGCTTTCTTTCAGAGGCCGGCAGCTAAACCCGTCGACTACGTTGACTGAGGGGGGCTTACGGGAAGGGGACACCATTGATGCCGTCGCGCAGCCGCCACAGTTGGCTTGCACACAGGAGGCCTTCGCACTCTATGCTCCTGGAGGCCCTGTTGTAACTTGGGGCCGTCCTGACCGTGGCGGTGACAGCAGCCATGTGCAAGAGCAATTGGTGCAGGTTCAGCAGATCCAAGCAACGCAGACTGCTTTTGCTGCCATCCTTGCCGATGGCTCTGTAGTAACTTGGGGCGATGCTGCCCATGGCGGTGACAGCAGCCATGTGCAAGAGCAATTGGTGCAGGTTCAGCAGATCCAAGCAAACTGGCGAGCTTTTGCTGCCATCCTGGCCGACGGCTCTGTGGTGACTTGGGGCGTTCCTGACTATGGCGGTGACAGCAGCCATGTGCAAGAGCAATTGGTGCAGGTTCAACAGATCCAAGCAAACTGGCGAGCTTTTGCTGCCATCCTGGCCGACGGCTCTGTGGTGACTTGGGGCGTTCCTGACTATGGCGGTGACAGCAGCCATGTGCAAGAGCAATTGGTGCAGGTTCAACAGATCCAAGCAACCCAAAGTGCATTTGCTGCCATCCTGGCCGACTGCTCTGTGGTGACTTGGGGCATTCCTGCCTATGGCGGTGACAGCAGCCAGGTGCAAGCGCAGTTGGTGCAGGTTCAGCTGATCCAAGCAACCTGGCGCGCTTTTGCTGCCATTCTGGACAACGGCTCTGTGGTGACTTGGGGCCATCCTGTTTTTGGCGGAGACAGCCGCGAGGTGCGAGAGCAGTTGGTGCGGGTCCAGCAGATCCAAGCCACAGTTGAAGGTGCTTTTGCGGCCATCCTGGAGGACGGATCAGTGGTAACTTGGGGCAATCCTCGGGCTGGCGGTGACAGCGGCCAGGTGCGAGAGCAGTTGGTGCGTGTCAAGCAGATCCAAGCAACTGAGTATGCTTTTGCCGCCATCCTGGACAATGGCTCTGTGGTTACTTGGGGCAATCCTGTAGAGGGCGGTTACAGCAACCACGTGCGAGAGCAGTTGGTGCAGGCCCAACAGATCCAAGCAGCTGGACAGGGTTTTGCTGCCATGCTGGCTGACGGTTCTGTAGTGACCTGGGGCCATCCTGCTGTGTACGGCACGGACTGCAGCCAGGTGCGAGAGCAGCTGGTGCGTGTTCAGCAGATCCAAGCGACCCAGACTGCTTTTGCTGCTATCCTGCACGATGGCTCTGTGGTGACTTGGGGCGATCCTGACTGGGGCGGTGACAGCAGCCAGGTGCGCGAGCAGTTAATGGGCGTGCAGCAGATCCAAGCAACTGGCAAGGCTTTTGCAGCCATTTTGGAGGACGGCTCTCTGGTGACGTGGGGCAAGTCTGAGGCTGGCGACAGCAGCCAGATTCAGTCTCAACTGGACTTCCTGTGAGAGAGATGGCTTTGCTTTGCAGCAGAGTCTTTGATTTGTTTCTTCATCATTGGGCGCGTTTCCGACAAGGGCCATAAACATATCACAATTTGCTTAAGAGGGGGCTATGATGCTGCAAGGAGTGCATATGAAGACAGAGTAAGTAGGGCATTTTGGTAAGCTTACCTTTTTGCGGGGCTAAATAATTACATGTTTGCTTTGAAACCATGGCTGCGATTGGCTTGAAAGCACCACATAACGCAGTTCCAATTTATTGGGCCTTGATTGACACCCTACCAACAAGCATGAAGTCTGCGAGGGAAGGCGGGGCTTTGCGAGAGGTGGGGAGGGCAGACATGTTCAACTTTAACCTCTGGCCTAGTGGACATTTAGTGTTTGAGAGTAGCTGCCGAGCATTTGTTGAGACGGGTGCTAACCCATGCATTGGACGGAATCATTACCCAGTTCTCTGGCACCCTTTTTCTCTTTTTTTCGTAGGGTGAATTCACACAGTCTGCCAAAACGATATGGCTGTGGGTCAAAGCCAATGGGATCCCATTTTGGGGTAGGCGAATTCACCACCCATTTTAGAACCTATTCTAGTGACAAAATTCAGGTCCAAGAGCTCTGGTTCAAGAACTTTCTTGCTTCTGAGAAGACACGGGTGCAAAACATTGATAATTGAAATCCACGTTTGGAGACGGGTCTTGCGATGGAGAAAGAGAAAGCCATATCCAGCAAGTTTGGAGAAGGTTCAGGTTCAAAGGTACCCTTGGCTTCCTCCCAGAGATTTGGAGACACACCCTGATGTTGTTTCCCCACTTGCGCGGCACAACTGCTGCAACTATGCCTTCAGGAGGCTCACAACAGGTGGGAAGATGGGGTGCGTGTTTCGTGGGGGGCATTTGGGAGATAGCCGCTGCACTGGATTTTTAGCAGACCTACGCTGCCACAGAACAGCACCTCCGAAGCGCCGATCCAATGCCTTCTGCGTAGAATTTGACCCTTCCCTCCAAAACTGTATCCCTGAGCGTCGTAGGCCTCTCTTTGTTCTCTTTGTGGGGGCTAGGCCTTGTTCTTGTTCTGGCGGAGAGGCCCTATTAAGGAAGGCCTTAGGCCTTACTAAGTGAGGCCTTCGGCCTTAAAAGGTAGGTTCCCAAAGGAGGGAGGCCTAGGCCTCGAAAAGTTTGTGTGGGAATGTTCTTGAAGTTTGTCAGCGTGTTGCTAGTGGGACTTACCCGGACTGAATTGCCGCATTTATGAGCAAATGACGTGCATGCTAACACTAAAGCCGAAAAGCTCCGCTTGATGCCGAGCAAGAGCTAGAGCCAAATTAGCAACAACTATTCCATTGCGCACAACAAAGCCAGTGACAAAGAGCACCAGATGGACCGTGGACAAGGCAAAAGGCGTCAAAAGACGTGGAACGGCCGACAAACTGTTGCTTGGGCGCAGCCTTCGTGCAAGAGTGCAGCATTAGGGTCACCAAAAGAAGTGCAGGTTCACAGAAACGTTGTGTACATATTCAAGGGAAAGCGCAGGGTCGTGACGCTGAAGGAGTTTGTTCCGTCTGTAGAACCACCTTCAAACAAACGACCCGCCCTGAAGACGCAATGGTACTGTGAGCAAAGCACGATGCCTTATTAACCGACACCAGCGTTTGGTAAGGGTGCACATAGCATCATGCTCATTTGCGAAGGTGTTGCCAAGCAAAGCGGATATTTTTCAGCAACATGGGGCCGGCCTTAAAAAGGCATGGTTACTCAGCGCATATACTTGGCAAGATGATGAGGCGCCTATTTTCGCAAGGCCTTTGGAATATGAGGGGTGTGGTAGACCCGTAGTGTCCATTCTGCAACATTCTCCGGGCTCTTTTTTGCAGTGTTTGAGTTTATGACATATGCTCAAAGAAAATCAGTGGCCCCACGTTTTTCTCCTTCCCCCTTTGCCAGGCACAGCGTAGCGCCCGGAGGCTTCCTTGCAGTGCATGTGAGTGAGTTTGGACCCCCAAATGCGAAGAGATGAGAGTCTCTAGGACACACTTGGGCCAGTAAATCAATGACCACCATTTTTGAGGATCCAAATCCTGGTTGAGCCAGTGGTTTCATGTGGGTGTGTCTTTTTTGAAGGCACCTTGTTTGAGTTAGGTGAAAGGTGACCTTGGTGCATGTTGCTTGGATGTCGCAACCGAGGAAACCTTCCCCCTCGACACGCCCCCTCCCGAGGATGGGGTTGTTCGGTGCCTGGACCCGGAGTGTGGGCTTACCACGTGTCGGTGGTGCATGCAGCCGGAGCACGGCCCTTTGAAGTGTGAGGAGGTCGAGAAGGACGGAGCACGTCATTGGAATCCCCAAATGGTGGGTGGGGAATGGCCCCCCAACCACCGAATATAATTCACCCAGGAAGGGATCTGCCCCAGAAACGCGCGATCAGCCAAAAAAAGAGGCTTCGATTTCCAAAAAAGCCCAGTTTGGTGGTGTTACCTGGTTTGTTTGGGGTCGTAAAGCCTACACCAACCTTTGACCAAGGGTTAGTGGGGGTTGGGCGCTGCTCATGTGAGGTTTGGGATAAATGTCCAGATGTGTCTATGGTCCATTTGGCAGGGACATCTCATGAAAAGGACCTTTCCCCACACCGTTTCCCTTTATGCAAAAGCAACCAAATATGATGGGCCCTGCCTGTTTTCCAGTCAGTGCTGTGAGGGCAGAGGTGGCATTGCATGGACCGCTGCCCATGGCGTCAGAATTAGAATGTCCAAATTTGGATGCAGGATCAAAGCAAATTTCAATGCCCGTCTCATGTTTACAGTCTCCCTTGCGGTTCGGATGGAAAACAATACGGGGACATAGACAGCGATGCGCTTGCGCGATACCCTGGGGACCCTGCAACAAAAACAAGTCAAGCCAATAAAGCCAAAGGCGACCTACTAAACATGGTCATGAATAGATAGTTCGAAGTCATCTTGAGCGTGGCTCGTTTGCGTGCCCTAGTGCCATGCTTGTTTGGCAGCCTGACCCTGTGCCAGTGAGAGCTGCTGTCAGAGGATGGTGATGCTGGCAAGTATACCCTCTCTAGCAACAGATAGAACCTGCAGAGGCAAGCAGCACATTGCCAGCTGCCAGGTGATGACCAAGCAAGTTTTGAACCACTTGATGAATATATTGCATAACAAGAGGTCATGAGGGCCTAATGTACTTAGAAGCTTCCTCATATTACGTTGCTGCAGCTTCAATTTCTGCAGCGCCATTCTAATGAAATTCAGGCCCTCTCCGAGAACCCAGCGGAAGGAAGCATTTTTTTGGGCACCGTGTGACTCGGGCGAAAACCCCTGGACCGGAGCCGATTCCGGGCCCAGGACAGCGAGACAAAGATCAGGAGAGCGTGAATATGGTCAGGCGCTGTTTTTACAACCCCGAAATCTCACGTTTGGACCTCCAGTTGGCCTTGAAAAGGTTGGGGAGTATTGGATCCGAGACAAGAACATGTGTCCCTGATTCCTTGGAGCTTCCCATCGGCGAATGCCCCCCATTTTTGGAATACTAAGTAGACCAACGACACACCCCACCCCAAAAGCCCAAAAGGGTTTGTCTTAAAATAGGGAATCACCGAAGATTGTAGTTGTCCTTTTAATTTTCCCTCTAAAGCCAACCAAAGAGATTCCCCAAAACGAAGACTTTACAGCAAATCCAGCTGCGCTGTGTGGCTTTGTTTTCACCAGAAGCTCCGCATCCCCTGCATCACTCGGACACAGCCCAGACAGTTGGATCCCAAAACATGCCTGACATCCCTGACCCGACAGTCGCCAGCATCCCTACCAACAGCCTCGACATCCTTGCCAACTTCACCCGCATCCCCAGCATCACCCCTGCATCCTCTGCATCCTCTACACTGTGCCAACCCTCAAAAAATGACCCCCTGAGAGTAGGTTTTTGGAGGTACGTGGACCTACCGGCATGTTTGCGATCAAGCGAGCGGGGTTTCTGCATGTTTCTGCCAAAAGCGCGGCCGCCGCCATTTGGCGGAAAACATCGCAAATACCGCGGTTTTCTTCATTTTTTCCACGGTTGCTGTAGGGCTGAGCGGGGATGCCGGGATGCAGTCTTCGTCTGATTGGCTTTGGGTGTGCGCCCTCGCGCACGCTTGCGCGCGCGCCGCACGCAAGCATGCAGGCCTCACACGCACGTGCGCGCACGAGGCACGCGCATGCACGCACGGGCACGCACATGCGCACAGGCGCACGCTGGGGTGGGCGGCTGGGGGGGGGGCGGGGTTGGGGGAAAGCCGACTGGACGCACAAACAGACTTGTGCCACTGGGCCCTTCCAGTGACATCGCACAGATTTTTGCTGTGCATTGCAAAACGAGTGAAAGGGGTTGCCTTGTTTCCCTACTGCAGGTTTTCCTTTATTGGCTTGGATTTGTGGTTTGCTGGTTACCCCTGGTTCTTGCAGAAGGTATTCGGCAAACCACCCCTAAACTCCAAACCACCAATCCAACCCACCATTCTTGACGCAAGCTGACTACTTGCAATGAGAACAGGGATGGGTCTTTTCTTCCTCTTGTTCTAGATCCCTTGTTCAACCCCCTGGTTTCCTTTTTGCAATACCCTGGCATTTGTAGGACCTTCCTGGAGGAGAAGATGGCCGAGGCTGTGCTTCGCAGGCTTGACGCACATTTTGCCGCGGCGCTTTGCGGATTATGGGACCATGGCCCCTTTGAAAGGGAAACCGCGAGGACAAGATTATGTTTGTCATGTGAGTATGTTTGTGTGTGGTTTTGAAGCATTCAAGCTACCCTTTTCAGGCTGGTTGGCCGGGACACACCAAGATCCATTGGGTCCAAGTCCATTGGCACAAACATTGGCGGCGTCGGTGATGCCTGGGCAACTGAATTCTCGGGGGCAAAACGAGCCCCATGATGAATCTGAAGTTTCCGTGTGAAGAAATTCCTTGCCCCAGGTGTAATATATAGTGCCCAGGTACGATGGTGTCCCCCTCGTGGGGGCGTAGCCCCTTCAAAGCCCTTCCCCCTACATTTCCGTCAGGTGCCAGGGAAGAGCAGCCCAAGCGTTTTTCCATATGGGATGCAGTGTGTAGAGAAGAGCATCTAAGAGAAGAGAGAAAGGCAAGTGAAGCAAACATCGGCTATAGCAATTCCTTTACTTGTTCTTTGCGGACTGACCCCGCTTGTTTGGTCACAGTTGTTATTGACTATTGAAAGCCTATGGCATCGCTTTATGGCATCTAACGACCACTTCGACATTTGCTGGCCATAGGTCAGAAGCCCTTGCACAGACACCGACGCGTTGCATGGAGAGGTGTTCCAAGATCGCTGGATGCAAATGGCAACCTTGGAAACATACCGTAGCCCAGGACGCAGAGGATCTTTGGCACAGAGCCGGCACGAGCACTGTTTACCCATACCGAGTTCGATGTCAGATTTTCGCCGGAAGCACCCTTGCAATGAGTTTGTGTGTGTGTGATTGTGTGTGATTCGGAGTGTTTTTTCCCCGGGCTTGCGATTATAGGCATAGTCAGCTTGCTGCTGTCGCAATGAGAGTCAGGGAGCGCACTGTTCATTTGGGTATTGCTCAAAATCAAACCACCAGGGGAACGCAGGTTTTAGTCAACTTTTCCATTTATTAGGGTTTCATTTTGGGTACCTATTTTTGACCCACCTCCATTTGTCAAAGGCTGCCAATGCGCTTGGACAACTTCTGTGAGATAGGTGGCGAGCACTGTGTCTTGTGGCACTTGCTTGACAGAACCGAGGAAGTGAGCAGGCAGTGGAATCCAAACGGGTTCCCACTATCTCCCAAATCACTGCCCGGAATCCAAAGGGAACATCCGCAGGGGAACATCGGGGCAGCCAAAATCTATAAAGCCATAATAGTGATTTTATAGATTTTGTAATATATTCATAGGTTTCTGTATGAAGTGGCCTGAGAATGGAACTGATAGAAGACAGGAAGGGGGCAAAAAAGGAAGTAGTTCACCGAGCCATGGCAGGGGCATGCGGTGGCAGCTTTGCCAGGTGCCCAAACCAGAAGTGCCAGAAGCCCTACGAGAGGACGAGCCGATGCCGGTGCAAAGAGACTGGAAGAGTTGCCGATAGACACTTCGCGCTTCAATGGCTCGGAGTCAATCAAGTGCTGTCGAAGACAACAGGCGGTGAAATGGCGCCCCTAGGGTTTGGAGTCAAGGAACCCCAAACCCCCCTCAAAGTGTGCAAACATTTTTCCAGAAATCGTCGAATCCAATGAAGTGCCGTCGAAGACAACTGGCGGTGAAAAGACACCCCTAGGGTCTCAGTACCCTCTTTGAAACCTGAAACCAGTCTAGGGACCTTGCAATATTGCACCAAGAATGCATGAACTTAGGCAGCTTGGTACCCAGCCTTGGGCCCACGTCTGACTTGCCGGGTTTGGAGCCTTCGGACCTCCAGCGGCCTTGTGTTTGGTCGTTTGTCGTAGTTGCTCCTTTCATGTCTTGTGTGTTTCTTCTTCTTCTTCTTTCTTTCTTGAGGGGGGTTTCCACTTGATTGTAATTACTCTGTCTTTTTTCTTCCTTCCTTTTGAGGGGTATTCCCTTTCAAATCAACCAACACACAGCGTGCTTGCGATGTTGAAAATCACCTCTAGAACCAAACCGGCAAACTCGCCTCACGAACCTTTGATCTCAACCAAACCCCACCGGGGCGTTTGCGGGGCCGAAGCGTTTCTCCCGACAGGACGGAGGGCTGCAATCACATCCGGTGCCCCTGCGGCACGCACAGCTGCTACCTCTGCGGCACGGAGCTGGATAAGAAGCGGCCCTACGACCACTACAAGGACTGTGTTGTTTTCCCCGGCCATGGGAGGGGATCGGATCAGGGGTCAGGATTTCTGGGCAAGCAAAATGATGACCGGACCATTCTCTAAGTCAGGGGTTGGAGCATGTGTCAGCTTGCGTGGAGCGTTGGCAGGGTGACTTTTGAACATTTTGAGAGAATGGCGCGGGTGAACGGGGGAGCCAAGAATTCGTGGTAGGACTTTGTGGTTGGTTTGCTTAAAAATAGAGGGCCCTGGTTTAGACGGGGTTTGTTCCATTTACCAGGGCCACCTATTTTTCAAAAGGCCACCTATGCTTCTGAGAACTTGAGCGCTATCCCAGAGAGCGTTGCCTTTAAGTTGCGAATTCGTCCTTAGACAGGTGGCGGCGTGACGCTTGAACCCAGATGTTCAGTGGATCCAGTTGATCCCTTTTGTGTCTGGGCATCCCATAAAAAGGTCAACTGTTCAAACTGAATAGTGATGATATGGATGAAATACAACATTTCAAGAAATACCAGAAAAAAGAACAAACGCCTTTGTGAGGCTACCTTTTTGGGCTGTTTTTTTATTTCAACCGGCTCTGATAGCAACTGGGAGACTTGTGGCGGGCTTCCGCTGCTTTGCGCTTGAGGATGGACATTTGGGCGGCGGGAAGAACGACTCCAACTCGCGGTGCATTGTGTGCCCATCTCAGCGTGCGTAGCTTCAACACGAGAAACTGCTCAGTTCTGGTTCTTGCGTGGTCCCAAAAGGCAATGGAGGCGTTTTTTGCTGTTCATATTTTGAAGACAACCGCTTTTTGGGGCGTAAGCTGTTTCAAGCAGACCCGATGTGGAGCAAGGCAAAAGGTGGTTTAAGCAATGCTGGTTTGTATCTCAAGTGGCTGGCGCCAGCCTGGCACAAAGTCGCCAGGGATGGCGCCAGTTTGCCTGCGTGCCATTGCTACACGCAGGACCTTTGGATGTCGTCGGGGAAAAATGCATCATTGCAGCATGTGCTATGCTTTTTAATCATGTTCAAAGGCAATCCCTTGTCGGTCCCTTCGTACCAGCGGCTTTTAGCTGGCGGCTTTGCTTTGTGTTTCCGGCATGTGTGTCAGTCACCTTTGCGTGGCAAACTTGCCTCTTGTTAGGCAACTTATTCACCCCTCAGCTAGTCTCTGCATCAGTTCCTTGGAATATGGGTCGTCCTGCATTGATGGCGAATTGCGGGCTCACGAGCAGGGATGGCTACTTTTCGAAGTATTCAGCCATCCCTAACCTTCAAAGTTTTGTGGGCTGCTGTAGGGATGGGGCTGCCCCCGCGTTTGTTCCGGTCAGGAGTTGGGAGGTTCCGCCTGTTTGGCTGCCTGGTCTCAGCTGGTCATCGCATCGCGCAAGGTATGGAACACCAAAGTGGGCAGAGGCATCTGGCAAGAAGCAGCGAGAGGCCGGTGCCCCAGTTGTGTCGAGGTGCCGGGTTTTGCAACTTGAAACGCGGAGTGAAGGGGGCCGAATCTTTGAGAGTGTCACCCTGAAACAAAGGACACTGTGAGTGAAACGAGACCAATCATGGCACTTGGATGATCATTGCTTTTTCTTGACTCACGTGGGCTGCACGAAGGAGTGGACCCAGTTGCTCCTTCCAAGTCACGTGCTCTTCCAGCTAACAGTCGCGCCAGCACTCCAAGCAAGACAGCTAGCAAGCAGGCTCACGAACGTACAAGCCAAGAAATCAATGAGGAGTACCATCCCCAACCATCAGTTGCAAGCTTCGGCGCCATCCAAACGTTGGTCTTTGTCCATGACATCCCTGGGTCCGTGGAAGGTGTTGCATAGTGATGGTTCCCAGGAAAACTTTCCGGGGTGGGGTTTCCCCCCTTTAAATCACATGCTTGACTCGTTAAGAATGCAGCCTTCCGAATTGTTTTCTTGCTCGAATCCCTTTGTCCCTTTTCGTGCGGCGCTTTGACTGTTGGGGTCGGAATCAAGTTGTCCCAATCTGACTCTAACAGGGGAGGTGCGAGTCTGCAATCCCATTTGTTTGACCTAAAATGCATTAGCGCTGTCTTTTTTCAATAAAACAACCCTTTTTTCGAGAGGTTTTAAAAGACAAAAGGCGAGGCAATGCAAAAGCCGGCATTCATTTTGTTTGTTTTGTATGGCACGCACATGGGATGAATTCCGTAGCCCTGAAGTCTACCCTTTCCGAAAGAGGAATTCCGTCTCCGGGTTTCCCGGCTTTGAGTCCAGAGGGGCAAATGTTCCTTTCCCCCAGCTAGCAGCGTGCAGCTCTCACCCCTTTGGGGGGAGGGTTCCCCTACAACTAGACCACCGAAAAAAAGTGGGTGCCCTTATAAGGACCTCTCTACAGGACCTAGCTTCGATTTGCCGGCAGCTGGCCGGGTCAGCCATGCTGCCTTGAACGAGTTAGAACTACTTGTGGATGGTTGCGAAATCCATTTGCCACCAAGAAATTCCCAACGGAATGATTCGATTCCCCAACGAAAAATAGCTAAAGTAGCAACGGACTCACTGCACCAGCTTTAAACCCCATTTTGCCCATTTTGTTAGTCCTCCCTGTAGCCAGACGTGTTGTGGTCTCGGCGCGGCGTGAGCAGTACCGGTACCCATTTGTTCACCTGGTCCCTATGCTTCCTCGACTATTTTTAAAATAGGGGTTGTTCAACCCCGATTTGTTGCATTGACAACCCCTATTTTTTGACATTGGCCTTTGGGGTCCATTTTGGGTTGTTACTTTGCGTTTATCAAAAAATACGCCTGCTATTGCAACCTCTTAGGGTCCTCGGGGCCCTTTTGTGTTTGCGCAATGCGCCTGCTGAAAGTCTTGCGTAGACGGAGCCTTCATTCTAGCAAATTCTCGCAGGTGGCACGAACAACAAGCAATTGTGTGTTTGTTTTTTCCGAAAAACGACGTGAGCGTAGACAAACCGTAGACAAAGCGTAGAAAAACCGTAGAAACACCATTTTTGCCGCGTAGAACCACTATTTTTTGGAGTAGAACCACTATTTTTCGGCGTAGAACCACTATTGTTTGGCGTAGAACGGGCAAATTTTGCAGGGGACCCAGAAGATCAACGTTCTCATCCTGGAATGTTTGCTGTGATGGGTAAAGATTTATGCTGTCCCGTTTTGTTTGGTTTGGCTAAGAAGGTGGGGCAACAGAAGGACAGAAACGGTCAGAAGAGGGTTCCTCACGCGCTACATGGCCATGCTAAGAAACCAAGCAACATAGAAACCAACATTAGCCTTGAAGATTGTAACACATATTGCTGCATATGAAAATACATATTCGGCTTTGGGATCCTATGAGGCGGCCTTAGCGTCAAGTCTTTCCTAGCCCTTGTTCCAGTCCAAAACGGAGGCTGCCGCTCGTCATTAAAAAATAGTCTTTATCAAAAAACCGGGGTTCTCACAACGACTATGTTTTTTAATAGGCTTTGGAAGCATAGGGTGGTTGTCACCTCACTGTTTCGACCATAAAACGACCACAGCGGTGCAGGAAAAAATCCAGTGGCGGCCTTCAGCTTGGAGATGTCCGATGTCTCGGCTTTCGGTTTTCTTCGGCTTTCTTCGGTTTTTGCGGCTTTGCAAGGACGCGGAGAAGGCCCTGCAGCAGTATCTCAAAGAGAACCCCGACCTCCAGGATTGTGGGTAGGGGTGGGTTGGGCTGGGAAATCGGGAGGTTGGGTGATATTTGTAATTTTGGGGAGCTTAATAGGCTTAATATACGGGACAGGGTCTGACAGGGTAGCTAGTGTAAGGGACAGAGTCAGAAGACATTTTTTCTGTGTACCATGGCTGTGGGCCAAGGCTTTCTTTCTGTCAGGAATGCCCAGTTTCCTTTGAACATTGTTGATTGGGGGCAGGGGGAATTCCATGGGTTTGGGAAGATTGAGTTTAGGTTGCCGCTTGCTGTGATTGGCAAAAGGGACCCCCTTTCAAAGTGATCAAGTGATGGGGTTAACGATGGCGGTTTTCTTTTTTCTTTTTCTTATATAGATGGGTGTCTCTCAGAAGACTACATGGAGGGTCCCCTCAAATGATTGGCATCCTCGTGTGTTTTGCTTTATGTACCAACTAAAAGGGGGTCCGCACGGGTCCACCATTTTGAGAAGCTCCAAGATTTTGAAGAAACTCCACCATTTTGTGTCCACGTGTATCCACATGGGTCCACCATTGAGAAGATCCATAAACCAAATCGCTCCATCTACTTGTTTTTGCTTCAGAATAGTTTTTTCCCCTCTTGGTTTTAAAGGGAATGTACCACTTCTGGACATATTTTTGATTTTTGCCCAGAACCTGTTATGCATAAACTCTGGTTCAGGGCCTTGTTTGGGGAGTGTCTTTTTTGGGGAACCCCATACTTGGTTGGCTGAAAAAGGAAAGTCTACCTTCGCTGTTTGGCACGTCTCCGCAGATCTCCCGATCACTTCGCTGGAGGAAGTGGCAGCCGCCTCCAGCACCGCGAAGAGGAAGAGGCGCGGTCAGATCTCTCGCGCTCGTCCGCGCACGCAAGCTGCTGGTGTCGTCGCAACCATCACACCCCCTATGGCTGCCCTGGTTTATCTATGGCAACCATGTGGAGGTCCTTTGGTGTGATGATTTTCAGGTACGCCCCCCAACCATAGGTGTCCTTTTTGGTTGTTTTGGTAGGATACATAGAGGGCGATTTCCTGGTTTACCTGGTGGTTTCATCATCTACTAGGGAAATCCATCTATTTACCCTAAAAAAGGACGCCTATGGTCGCAACCGGTTGAAATGTTGGATTCCGCTACTTCCATTTGCTGAAATTGATATGATGTATTTGCCCCTGTCGGCTTTAAAGGGAGTCTGTCACTACTGGAAGTTGTTTTTTTTGCAGGGGACTTAAGCAAATGGATGGTTAAGTTAGGTTGGTTGAATACGTCAACAAGTACTGGTGGTTATAAACCATATATATATATATAATATGTTTATCAAGCATGACTTTCGATGGCCAGTTGATGGAGGTTGTATATGTATGGTTGCAGAAATTTGAAAGAGTATTTTGGTGGTACGGAAAAAGCGCTTAGATTTGAGGTGATCTTTCCCTTTTTTGGGTGACTTTATGACATAGCGAGTATCCTTGTGGTGGGTCTTGCATGGATCCCCCTAACAAAAATGCGGATAATGGTAAATCCTATGTCGCCGACCCTATTCAAGCACCCGAGCGTGTCGTAGGGGAGAAGCCAAGACAAAATCAACACGAATTGTGCTTGGCTTGCTTGCAGTCCTGAACGCGGATACCACGGTTTGGGCTGGTTGGGGGATTGGCATGTGAAGAATGGAGCAAATCAAGCACACCTCAAAGTGGACAGGGGGTACTTCAACCCAAATTCCATTTATGTCAGCCCATGTTCCTTCTGAGTGGAACCTGGGGGGGTACCTACACCCACCTCCTTGAGGTGGACTAGTAGGATGGATGAAGCCGAAGACCCCCCAAACGAGCCTTGAAATCACCAAATGTTGTTTGTCGGTTCCATGTGAATCTGAGTTTCAGATAGTTCCAGAGAACCCGTATTAGATTTGCTTAGTTCCCAGCAAGGGACGCTCAAAGTGGGTGGTGTGTTTCAACTGAAACTGCTTCTTTTTTGGGCCCCCCCCCCATTCGCCACGCCACCCAAACCAAGTGAATAATTCGGATGGTCCCCTTGCTCACCTACAACAACCCCAGCCGCTCAGTGACTCTTTGCACCAAACGCATTTGTGTGTGTGTTGGGTTCCTCTGCTTAAAAAGAAATTTAACCGCCAACAGAAATTGTTCCATTTTGTCCTTCTACCCCGTTCTTCAGGTAGGTCCCTTTTCCTTGAGCGGTCTCCCCACAAAGGGTTCCAGGGATTTTTGTGCCTTTGAGTGACTGGTTGCAACTGGGGCTAGTTTCCAAGTGCTGCTGCATTTGATGATGGCATTTTCCTGTTGGAAGGTTGTTCAATCACGGTCCGCCTCCAAAAGGAAAATTGTGAAACCCAGGGTCGCTTCCAAAAGGACCCCTGATAAAAAAAAAAAAAACAGGTCGACACCTTGTTTTTCCTAAACAAAACCAAACATGAGGGGAAACAGATCTGAAAAAAATGCGGGTTTACTTGTTTCTCCTGGAAAAAAGCCAACAAACAAAAGGGGAAAGAGATCCGCCAAGAAACACAAGCAGGTTTACGGGTTGCAACTCTGCAGTTCTCGTTGTTTTTTTCTTGGGGGGGTTTTCCTTTGGGTCCAGGAACCGTGGGATACAAAGCCGCAGGCTCCGGGAGCTGCTTGAGGTTACGCCGGAGCGGCGCAACAAGAAGGCCGGGCTCGGCGAAATTAAGTTGAAACGTTTCAGCCGTTTCGCGGCTTCAGGCAAACCCCGAATTGGTGGTTTGGATTGGTTTGGATTGGTTTGGATTGGTTTGGATTGGTTTGGATTGGTTTGGATTGGTTTGGATTGGTTTGGATTGGTTTGGATTGGTTTGGATTGGTTTGGATTGGTTTGGATTGGTTTGGATTGGTTTGGATTGATTGGTTTGGATTGGTTTGGATTGGTTTGGATTGGTTTGGATTGGTTTGGATTGGTTTGGATTGGTTTGGATTGATTTGGATTGGTTTGGATTGGTTTGGATTGGTTTGGATTGGTTTGGATTGGTTTGGATTGGTTTGGATTGGTTTGGATTGGTTTGGATTGATTTGGATTGGTTTGGATTGGTTTGGATTGGTTTGGATTGGTTTGGATTGGTTTGGATTGGTTTGGATTGGTTTGGATTGGTTTGGATTGGTTTGGATTGGTTTTGGATTGGTTTGGATTGGTTTGGATTGGTTTGGATTGGTTTGGATTGGTTTGGATTGGTTTGGATTGGTTTGGATTGGTTTGGATTGGTTTGGATTGGTTTGGATTGGTTTGGATTGGTTTGGATTGGTTTGGATTGGTTTGGATTGGTTTGGATTGGTTTGGATTGGTTTGGATTGGTTTGGATTGGTTTGGATTGGTTTGGATTGGTTTGGATTGGTTTGGATTGGTTTGGATTGGTTTGGATTGGTTTGGATTGGTTTGGATTGGTTTGGATTGGTTTGGATTGGTTTGGATTGGTTTGGATTGGTTTGGATTTGAACCCCTGGTTCTCGTAGAAGGCAAATGGAAAACCACCTCCGCAACTACGAAACCACAAATCCAAACCACCAAATGGAGGGAAGCTGACTTTGGGGAAGCGAAAAGGAAGTTGGTTTGACAGTTTAGTGTCAAAAGTGGCAAAATCCAAATTAGAAAACGGGGGGATGGAGACATGTGTGCGTGAATAGTTGGTGGTTCAAACTCTGGGTTAGCCCCAAGTATGGACATTGTTGTTTAACTCCCGCTCGGAAATGGAAGGGGGCATGCGTCTACATGTAACTGAAGCGAATGATGGACCTCTAGGGGGGCTATGGGGGGGAGGCTAGCGCCTTAATTAATATGGCTTTTAGCAGATATAGCCCCCGCCCATAGCCCCCCTTGGAGGTCCCCTTGGAGCAAAGAGGTTGGCCCCTTAGGCCAAGGCTTCCGCGGACGCCGAGCCGGAGCTCCAGGCCGCCCGGCCAAAACCAAAATCGCGCTTGGCGGGAGTTGGCGCGGAGAGCGGGGGAGGTGATACCTGCAAGGAGTGGTTTCCCTTTGGTTTCCTTGGCACCTTCGTGGTTGTTGGGACACACATTTTACATTTTTGCTTATTGTTGTTTCGTGGGACATCCCCACTTAGCTGCTAAGATTTAAATCTTTGCTCCTCGTCCAACGTCAACCATGTCTTTGGCGTCAAGCGCTTGACAAGAGCCACGTGCCACGTGGTTGAGTTGAGCGGCCACCAGTTTGGAGGAGGCCAGCCTCTCAGCTGGATCTGAAGGTTGAACCCATGGAATCACCTGGGTCACTGTACTTCAGCGTCGCCCTTTTTCAAGCGTCCATGGAGTTCCCTTCGGAGGGGTATTATTTTAGTGTTTTTTTTCCTTTTTTTCCGCTTTTGGCTTCTTGGCTTTTTGGCTTCTTGGCTTTTTGGCTTGTTGGCTTCTCGGCTTCTGGGTTTTTCGGCTTTTTGTTGGTTTATGCGGCTTTTGGTGGCTTTTTGGCTTTGGCTCCTCTTCCCAGTTCCTCTTCGGCAGGTGGCGTTTTAGCTTTTGCGGCTTTTCGCTGGTTCATTCGGCTTTTGGGGGCTTTGGCTTTTCAAATCCTCTGCGGTCACAGTTCCTCTCTCGGCTTTTTGGCTGTTGCACCCTTTCATTGGTTTTTGGATTTGGCTTCCCGCATCATCAGCATCACCACTTCCTCGAACATCATGGGGGGGAAGCCCCCCCAACCCACCCGCTACTGTTTAGATTGTTTGCAGGGTAATTGCACCCTATTTGAATCAACACTTCTTCAAACATCATGGGGGGGCTGCCGCCCCCCGCAACCCCCCCGCTATTTTTTAGATTTCTGCAAAATACACATTTTAGGTAATCTGTGCAATCCATGTATGTCTGTATGTATGCACTTCTTCGACTTTTAAATTCTATCACACCTTTTCTTGAATCATTGCACCCCTACTTGAATCATCACTTCTTCCGACATCATGGGGGGGGCTGCCGCCCCCCCCAACCCCCCCGATTTAATTGCACCCAACCCCCCTGCTATTTTTTAGATGTTTTTTTTTTACAGGGACTGATGCCCTCGTATCCTAGGGCTTCGCCATCACCAGCGGCACTGGCCGGTCGGACAGGTGAGATGGGGAGCACTAAGAAGAACTCTGTTTAGGCGGGACCTTGTTTCAGAGCCTGACCTTTACCCAAGCACGCGCAAGGTTGCTTGCCCAACCCCCCTGACACTGAGTCACACTGAGCATGCACTCACCCACCCTAGCTTGAGCGCATGTGTGCCTGTCCGGCGCGCGCGCGCGCGCCGCTCGTGTCTCACACCTAAGCCAATCAGACCAAACAAATCCCCGGCAGAAACAGGTTGACAAATGAAGAAAAACACAGTATGCGCGATGTTTTCCGCACAGCGGCGGCGGCCGAGCTTGCGCAAGAAAAACCGCTCACTCGATCGCAGACTTGCCCGCCATGGCCGCCTACCGCCAAAACCTCCTCTCGGGGGGCCATTTTTCAAGGGATTGAGCGATGCAGGAGGGGATGCAGGGGATGTAAGGGATGCTGGAATGCCCAGATGCTGGTGATGCAGGGAATGCCGGGGATGCTGGCGAAGTTTGCGAGGATGCAGAGGATGTTGGCGGGGATGCTGGCAACTCTCCGGGGCGGTTTGCACGGTATTTACCTTGTTTTTTGAAGGTCGGGCAACGTGGCATCAGAAGCTTGTCGCAAGGCCAGGGAGGCCCAGGATGTTTTGGGGTCCAAGTGTTTAGGCCGGCCTGCGTGCAGGTGATGCAGGCGAGCTTGGGGTGCAACAAAACGTCAGCGGTATACCCTACGGGTAGGGTTGCCCTCACTCTTCGAGCTCGAAGCCGCTGGCTTTGAATCATCATTTTTGTTGACCCCGTCAACCCGCCAGCTACTTTTTCGATTTTGTTACCCGGACATGCGGGGGATGTTGAAAACGATGCTGGGGATTTTGACGGGCTAGCCTAAAATGCGTGAACTTCGCGAGAAACTGTTGTAAAATACGGCATTTTTTGGCCCGGACGAAAAACGATAAAAAAATAAATAAATAAATAAATAATAAATCCGCACCCGTTCCCTTCTTGGTGGTTTTCAATGGCACTTGCTTGGTCTATTTCCTTGTTTGGTGTATTTCAGTCGAGATTCCCTTGGTAGGGTGGATGCCTGAGGTGGAAGCACGGGCATTGGTCTGGTGGGTTCCGCATCAAGTCGTCAAACGGTATGTGCGGCAATCGACTCGCCTGTTGCCATTCCACACGTGCTATTGTGTTCCAACCTTTTCCTTTTTCAAGATGGGTGTGTGTGTGTGTGTTTGTCTGTTTTTCTGTCTGAGTGTGTCTGTTTGTGTTTGCATATGATGTTGCCCTTTTCACCTTGGTTTAACGGGAAACCATACGGACACAGCACCATTTCACACACCATGGCGAGTTTGAAGGATGTTGTGGCCCAGAAATGTCCAGGCCACGTTCGGAAGTCCATCGCTGAAAGGGATGAGCCCAGACCAGGCCTCCAGAGGCATATGAGTTCTTAAGGGCTTGCGGATCATGGGCGGCAACCGCCTGAGCGCTGGTTGACAGTTGCTTGTTGAAACTGGATTGTCAAAATATACATACAACCTCCATGACCCTTTAAGAAAGGGGTCATTGCCCTAAAAATGGGGCCATGGACCAATTTTTTAAGGGTCATGGAGTCTCTAGGTAGGTCCTTGATCCTAGCGGCAGGTGGCCTGCCACGGAGTGCGGATATGTGCGGATTAGGACTAAGGGTTTTCCTGCGCTTTCATGATTCTAGTCAAAGAGACAACTTATGGTTGATGCCCCAAACATCGCAAGTTATCATGGGGCCCTGTCTTGTGCTATGCAGTGGGTCTCGGCAATTCAACCGCAGCACCGTGTGGGTCTGGCAGCGTTTGGAGAATCAACCCAAACCCATGGCATACAGGCAGCGTGAGGCAGGATTTGCTTTCGGAAACATATATGGTGTATCAACCCTGCTCTTGGGTGCGCCGTTCGGTCAAAAGGCAAAGCAACACCTGGTTCTTCACAACCGCTGAGCGAAGTCGCCAAATTTCGCTGGGTCCCCGCCTGAGGCTTGCGTGATTCAGTGAGGCCCGCTCCAGAAGTGAGCAACGCCCTAGACAGCCTCCGTCAAGGTCGCACAGGTGGCTCGATCCAGAGAATTTCCGTCAGGAAAGTGAGTGCCACTAGATGTTCTACGTTTCTGAGTTGTCCCAAGCCGACTTACCCTTTTCGGGGTTTCCTCTTTGGTCCATTAGGGGTTGTCTCAAAACAGGGGACCCAATATGTTGGGTGGCCCCCCTTCCCCCCAATAATACAAAAACCATCCCCAAAAGGCTTCTTTTGAGACACACTCATTCTTGACCAGGTTTCTTTGTAGCTCCGGCAGCTTGCAGCTTGCACCAGTTCTCCCGCTCAGATCCTGTCAATCTCAATCTCTGGAGTAGCAATAGCATCCCGGTCGGACTTTAAGCTTCCTGACACGATCATTTTCGTGGTTGTCGTTTTTGTGATCAAACTCCGGAAGTTTTTCAGTAAATGTGCCACAATTGCTGCTAGATGCAGAGTCCAAGTAATCATGTAATGAACTTAGGCTTGCCGTTTAAAGAACAAGCATGGTGATCACAAATTCCATAACTCGCTTGGAGTCACTTGTCCAAGTCCGACCTTTAAGCCATTTGGTTTCCTTAGTATTGGTCACATTGTTAGCCTGGGTCTGAAAAGGTGAGTCTGTCATTGTCCATTCGGCAAGATGACCAGAGCAACTTGCGCAGATTGGGTTTCGTGTGGCCTTCAGAGGCGGTGAGTTCATGCTTGGCTGCCAGATTCGGAGCCCGGCGGATGGCCAGTGCAAATGATTGCCTTCAGCGTGCCTGGCTTGGCTGCTATTGGGTTTGATCTTTAACCTTCAAGTTGTTGGGATCAGGAGTGTTTTGTGGTTTTTCGCTATGAAAAGTTCAAGTTCTTGCGCACGGGGTACCCGGCACCAAGCTTAAAGGATACATTTGGACCAGATAAATACACAACAATGTTCAGCTGATTTGGACCCCCATGGTAAACCAGGTGGTGTTTGGATGTATTCTTTAGCGACCCCGCGAAAAGGGGACCCCAAAGCCACATCCGACCAAATCCGCAGGAGCCCAGCCAACCGCAAAACGGTGCGGTAAGAATTACTGCGGGTTATTTTTATTTTATTTTTTTTGGGGGGGGGTTTCACAGCCATTTACGGGGCGATTACATGAAGGTGTATTGGCTGATGTGTGTGCGTGTGTAATTTTGTAGTTGGCTTCTGATGCATTGCCTAATGATGCTCTCCCATTCTGCGGGAGCCCTGCCGCTCAGAGATCCATACTCTTGGGGATCAATTCAATCACTCCAGTTGGCATTGTCACTGCCATATGTATGTGGTTTTGTTGTGGTGCGGCACAACTTGCAATTGTTCGCGGTGCGTTTTAGGGAGCTAGTACCTTGCTTGGTGTCCTAACTGCAGGTGACACGCGTGGTGTGTTTGTGTGCTCGGTTCATTTTCCAGCGTTGAACATTTGAGCATGCGGCAAAGGTGTGCGAGTGCGTGTGTGTGTGTGTGTGTGTGTGTGTGTGTGTGTGTGTGTGTGTGTGTGTGTGTGTGTGCGCGTGGGTGTGGATGTGGGTGTGGGTGTGGGTGTGTGTGTGTGGGTGCGTGTGTGTGTGTGTGTGTGTGTGTGTGTGTGTGTGTGTGTGTGTGTGTGTGTGTGTGTGTGTGTGTGTGTGTGTGTGTGTGTGTGTGTGTGTGTGTGGGTGTGTGTGTGTGTGTGTGCGTGTGCGTGTGCGTGTGCGTGTGCGTGTGCGTGTGCGTGTGCGTGTGTGTGCGTGTGCGTGTGCGTGTGCGTGTGCGCGTGTGCGCGTGCGCGTGCGCGTGTGTGTGCGTGTGCGTGTGTGCGGGTGTGTGTGCGTGTGCGGGTGTGCGGGTGTGCGGGTGTGCGGGTGTGCGTGGGTGTGCGGGTGTGCGGGTGTGCGGGTGTGCGGGTGTGCGGGTGTGCGGGTGTGCGGGTGTGCGGGTGTGCGGGTGTGCGGGTGTGCGGGTGTGCGGGTGTGCGGGTGTGTGTGTGTGTGTGTCTGTGTGTCTGTGTGTCTGTGTGTCTGTGTGTCTGTGTGTCTGTGTGTCTGTGTGTCTGTGTGTCTGTGTGTCTGTGTGTCTGTGTGTCTGTGTGTCTGTGTGTCTGTGTGTCTGTGTGTCTGTGTGTCTGTGTGTCTGTGTGTCTGTGTGTCTGTGTGTCTGTGTGTCTGTGTGTCTGTGTGTCTGTGTGTCTGTGTGTCTGTGTGTCTGCTTGTCTGCTTGTCTGCTTGTCTGCTTGTCTGCTTGTCTGCTTGTCTGCTTGTCTACGTGTTCGTGTTTCTGTGTGTGTGTGTGACTGTCTGTGTGTGTGTGTCTGTGTCTGAGTCTGTGTCTGTGTCTGTGTCTGTGTTTGTGTCTGTGCGTGTGTCTGTCTGTGTGTGTGTGCGTGTGTCTTGTGTCTGTGTTTGTCTCTATGTGTGTGGGTGTGTGTGTGTGTGGGTGTGTGCGTGCGTGCGTGCGTGCGTGCGTGCGCGCGGGCGGGCGGGCGGGCGGGCGGGCGGGCGGGCGGCGTGTTTGTCAGTTTGTCAGTTTGTCACATATTGTGTGTGTGTTGTGTGTGTGTGTTGTATGTTTTTGTGTTTGTGTGGTTGTGTCGTTGTGTGTTTGCGTGTTTGTGTGCATGTGTTTGCTTGTGTGCACCCTTTTTGGAGTGTTCAGAAAGCAAGCAGACGGCAATGCCCTAATTTCGAGAGAAGCCCACAGCGCCGGCTTTCCTTGCAGCAGGAAGCTTAGCACTGTTGTCAGATTTATTGGCGCTTTCTGGTGACTGGGTCCTCGGCAACTGCCAAGCCTCAGTCACGCATCGCATGGGCATTCGAATAATAGGCCGTGCTATTCCAACTCTGTATGCAGGGGGAGTTGCTATTGCTATTGGAGCCTGTTGTTGTTCATATTGGTTCTATGTCATGTCCATAGCACCCAACAAATCGTGGTGTTCCTTGGTTCCCCTTACAAAAGGGTCCCCTCCAAAGATGGCAATTTCAGGTGGGTTTTCACCGCGTAGCTTTGGCTCAGCTGTTTTCGAGCCGAAGCCGTGAACCCGCCATGGAGACAGAGGAGGGGCGTGGCTCGCCGTGGCGCGTCAAGCGCCTTGACTGGATACGGCCGGGCGCGGAAATTGCTCTTTGTTTGGGGTGGCCAAAGGGAATCCAAATTGGGAGTCCTGGCTGATTTGGAGGATGCCCTTTTAAAGCAGGTGGTTTTTGGATGTATGCTGTAAGAAACCTTGAGGATGTTTTTGCCCTTATTTGAAGCATGCCATACATGGTTCATTTCACCTGCTGGCTAGGGGAAATAAGAGAAGCAGTTGGCTTGAGATGAAACATTAGCTTTGCCAACGTGCAAAGCTTGTGCAACAGACAAAGCTCAAATTCAGATTTGGCAAGCTGTCCAGAGACCACATCCCCAAGCTTTGCTTTGGCGCCATTCGCACCCGACCTCCCGGAAAGACTCTGAAAACCCTTCTAACATAGCTGGCCAGTGGTGTCACCTTAGCCCCTGCGACTTTTTGGAAAAAGAGGTTTGACCTTTTGCTGAGGGGGAAGATCAAGCCAGCCACGGGTTGTATGCAGGTCCATTCAACACTTTGCGTGTGGGGGGGGGGGGACGAGGGGCAACGGGACACCTACCCTACCCTCTTTTCAACATCATGGAACAGGGTTTCGATCAACTCTTTAGGCGTTGAAAAGGGCCTAGGAACTTTCACAGCTGATCTCAGTTCCCCAAAGCCCACCTAGACCATTTTTCAGTCGAGTGGCCCCAAATGATCACCCAAATGATTTCGTCCAAACTGGGCAACTGAGTCACGGTTGTAAAGCCGTAGCCTGGCCAAATTCCAGAAGTTCCCTCCTGGCAATACGGGCATCCGGCGTGTCTCCGTTCGCCACACATACCTACTGTGCCAGATCCAACCTCATAGGGAAGCCTGGAACTCAAAAGGGAAACTACTAAACCCCCATTCCACCCCCCCAACTGCCCCAAAAAGTAGCCGCCCTTCCCACCAAATCGCCGACCAAATCCATCCAAGTCCAAATCCACCATGATCCCTTCCCAAATCCATGCCACCTCTGTCTCTGTCTCTGTCTCCGTCCCACCCCCCACCCCCCACCCCCCCACCCCCCCACCCGGATTTTTCCTCCCACTGCGCCCTCTCGGACGAGCCGCGCGCCTCGGTCGCCGACTCGGCCGCGGCCGCGCCGCGCGACTCGGCACTCGGCGTCTCAGGTCGGAGCCGGTGACGCGCGGCGAGCTGCAGCTGGAGCTGCGGCAGCTCGCAGCCTCTCTGGAGGCGAGAGAGAAGCGGAGGTGACCTTCCGGGCTTTGGGTTGGGGAACACCCGCTTCATGTGGCTCATGTGTTCACATTTGTTTGACCCTTTTTTTCCCCTCCCAAACAAAACACGAGGGCTCTTGTTTCATGTGTTTTTCACCCAACCACGTTGACTAAAATGTGGTTTTACACCCTCCGAGATCACTTTTTTTAGTCTTTTCGCAGGGCACCCCAAAATTAAGGACCGCTCCAAGTGTTTTTTCTTTTTTCGCGGTTTCCCTTTCGAAACCATCCAAAAAGGAGTCCCCCATTTTAAGATGAACGAACTCATGTTGTTTGTTGGGTCATTCCAAGTCATTTGATGGTGTCCCTTGATTTGTGGTTTTGATAGATGGGAAGCCACTCCGTTTCACCAAACCACCAATACAAGCCAATTACAAAACAAGGGCCACTTCCCAGGGACAAGCCCATACTTTCTCGTTTTGTGTGGGAGTTTCTTGGGAGTCACTTGATAAAACCAACCAAAACAGGAGCAGCCTCCAACACAGGCACATGAGGTTGACCCTATTCGGTGAGTTGAACAGTCTCATCTAGGTTCCTTCGTGCCAAAGGCACACCAAGCGGAAAACCACAATTGACTAGGTTCTTGCGGTGGCACAGCTGCACCTTGCAGTTTGTGGAATGAACTTGTGGATCCCCAAAGAAACCACAAAGATGTTTTGGTTTGGGGTAATTCCCTTATTCCTTCTCAGCGAGGCATTCCGCATTCGACACGCGGCTACATAGAAAGTTGCTGGTTGTGTGGTTGGTAACTCCACTTATGGGACCTATTGTGTTGCACAGGAGAATGGCTTATAACAAGGGTAGCAAACTTACATTCAGCGGCCACTCAAGCTTTCAAGACTAGGATAGGGTACGCAGATGTTGGGAAGGAATCATCCCCGAGCTTCCCCTAGTAGAAGATCGCCTCCGAAACTTATAAGAATCATAAGAACCACTGGTTCTTACGCTACAATTGACCCAGTCAAGCAAGAAACAGAGCAACTTGACCCGCTGACTGAGAAGATCCCCCTTGTAAAGTAGGCCTTTCGTTGCAATCAAGACGTTAACTCTTGTTTTCCGTTTGGTACTTTCAACCAAACACATTCTCAAGCGAAGGACGGTTTCCTACTTAAAGGGGCAGGGTGTACTTAGTAAGTGGTTAGTAACCATGGTTATAACCCACTTACCATGGTTAAAAGTCTCCTCAGTGGGTTATAACCATGGCTACTACCCACTTACTAAGTTCCCGATCGCCCCTTTAAGTACAGGATCAGCTGGATCCGCAAGAACCATCGCGGCGGCCCTCGAGTTCTCAGGCGGCCCTGGAGTCCTGCGCGGAGAAAGGCGCCAGAGCCTTCCACGAGAAAGCGGCCAAGAGCTCGGAGATCGAGGCTTGTGTCTTTGGGGGGGAGGGGGGCTTTTTTTTGTTCTTCTTTTGTTTTTTGGGGTGGGGGGGGGGGGCTTTTTTGTTTTGTTGTTCTTGTTTTGTTTTGTTTTTTTTTTTGGAGGGGGGGGGGGCTTTTTTTTTGGTATGTGTTGGTCCAAACCATTAGCTGGAAATGCAGGAGCTATGTACCTCTTGTATACAACCTCAATCCAGAGTGTTCGTTGAAGCTACCACCGACCCACCCCGTTGGGATGTACATTCAACGGGTGCTAACAGAGACCAACAAAGATACTGACAAGGAAAGAATGGGGGGCTGCTATCCCCAATCAAACAAAAGGCTCTCGAACCTTCTCGGCCCAGACTTATCCACGGGCAGTCCCCCACCCATAGCCCCAGGCGGTCCGTGACCTCATGCAGAGGGTGTCCAGAAACGGGACCTAACCGGAGCTTGCAGTTAGCAGCGTAGGTAAACCCTGGAGTCTCCATGACCCTTAAAAAATGGGTCCAGGACCCCATTATGTTTAGTAATGACCAATTTGTTTTAAAGGGTCATGGAGACTCCAGGACCATTCAAAACTCGTCGGTTCTCAGTCGGGAACAAGAAGCCCCGAAAGGCCACCTGTTTTCTCCGGTCGAACGGCGTATTTGGTTGTTTTGTTCGAATAGATGGCCCTGGTTTACCTGGTGGTTTAATCATCTACCAGGGCCATCTATTTCCCCTAAAAGGGCATCTATGATTTGGCCTGCCTAAGGTTGTGTTTGTTTGGTAGTTTGCCTCATTGGCTCGCATTTGGCTGTACAATTCCTGTATTTTGTCGATAGCATATTGCACAAACTATGCGAAGAATTGTCGTTTCACCAAAAAGTAGCCTTTTGGTGCTCCAGGCCTACATAGTGAACAATTCTTGATTTGATTTCCTTTTTTTCGGAGTCCCCAGAACCTGTTCATTCCAGACATCCGAACTCGTTGTCATTCCCTACCTATCGCACCAGCAAGAAAGTCAATAGCTCTGATAGACCAAGCCAAAATTCCCTACCAAATCAAATTCGAAAGGTCAATAGTAATACCTATCGCTGCATACCTCCTGACCAAATCAACGTCGCCAAATCCACAGGCGCAGTCAGAGGATGCGACCCCGCCAGCTGCGCCAGCGGCGGCCGTGCCGGCAGCACCGGTAGCGGCAGCGCCGGCAGCGCCGTCGTCGGCAGCGGCGCCTGCAGGGGACCATGAGCAGCCTTGACGAAGAATATTGCAAATTAAGGGGCGGAATGATTAGACAATATGTTCGTATGATCGTGACCACGCATGTTTGTAAAGTATCCCACAACCCATGCCTTTTTTTTTTTCGGCCCTCCCGATGTTCAAGTTGACTAATATGGAACAGAGGCTCAAATTCTCATGGTGCACCGTGGGATTGGGCCGGGTCTCAATCCAAACCCGACCTTGTAACCTTTCAGCCTTTCCTTGAGACTGTTCTCTATAGTCAGTGAGGGTTCCTTGAGACTGCGCGTGCTTGTCGTGACCGAGCGCGCGCGCGCGCGCGCGCCCGTGCGTGCGTGCGTGCGTGCGTGCGTGCGTGCGTGCGTGCGTGCGTGCGTGCGTGCGTGCGTGCGTGCGTGCGTGCGTGCGTGCGTGCGTGCGTGCGTGCGTGCGTGCGTGCGTGCGTGCGTGCGTGCGTGCGTGCGTGCGTGCGTGCGTGCGTGCGTGCGTGCGTGCGTGCGTGCGTGCGTGCGTGCGTGCGTGCGTGCGTGCGTGCGTGCGTGCGTGCGTGCGTGCGTGCGTGCGTGCGTGCGTGCGTGCGTGCGTGCGTGCGTGCGTGCGTGCGTGCGTGCGTGCGTGCGTGCGTGCGTGCGTGCGTGCGTGCGTGCGTGCGTGCGTGCGTGCGTGCGTGCGTGCGTGCGTGCGTGCGTGCGTGCGTGCGTGCGTGCGTGCGTGCGTGCGTGCGTGCGTGCGTGCGTGCGTGCGTGCGTGTGTGTGTGTGTGTGTGTGTGTGCGTGTGTGTGTGTGTGTGTGTGTGTGTGTGTGTGTGTGTGTGTGTGTGTGTGTGTGTGTGTGTGTGTGTGTGTGTGTGTGTGTGTGTGTGTGTGTGTGTGTGTGTGTGTGTGTGTGTGTGTGGTGTGTGTGTGTGTGTGTGTGTGTGTGTGTGTGTGTGTGTGTGTGTGTGTGTGTGTGTGTGTGTGTGTGTGTGTGTGTGTGTGTGTGTGTGTGTCTGTGTGTCTGTGTGTCTGTGTGTCTGTGTGTCTGTGTGTCTGTGTGTGTGTGTGTCTGTGTGTCTGTGTGTCTGTGTGTCTGTGTGTCTGTGTGTCTGTGTGTCTGTGTTTCTGTGTGTGTCTGCGTGTCTGTGTGTCTGTGTGTGCGTGTGCGTGTGTAGTGTGTGCGTGTGTGTGTGCGTGTGTGCGTGTGTGCGTGCGTGTGTGTGTGTGTGTGTGGGTGTGTGTGTGTGTGGGTATGCGAGTGTGGGTGTGCGCGTGCGCGTGTGCGCGTGCGCGTGCGTGTGCGTGTGCCTTTGCGTGTGCGTGTGCGTGTGTGTGTGTGTGTGTGGGTGCGTGTGCGTGTGCTGCGCGCTGCGCGCTGTGCGGTGCGGGCGCGGGGCGCGGGGGCGGATGCAGGGGCGCGGCGCGGGCGCGTGCGCGTGTGCGTGTGCGTGTGCGCGTGCGTGTGTGTGTGTGTGTGCGCGCGTGCGTTAGTGTGTGCGTGTGTGCGTGTGCGTGCGCGAGTGCGTGTTCGTTTGCGTGTGCGTGTGCGTGTGCTGTATTTGTTTGTTTGTTTGGTTGGTTGGTTGGTTGGTTGCGGGAAACCAAGGTCAAACCACACATGTTGGAAGTTGAAGCCAATGGAAGGTCCCTTTGTTTTAAGATGAAGCCACAAGCTGTTTTAAGATGAAGCCACAAGTTGTATTCTATTCAGGGGGTTTGCATCAGTTCTAGTGGGTATAGCAGCCTTGCAAAGGGCAGGGTGCGATCTCATGTTTGTTAGTGTCTTCCAATTGTTTGGGAGGGTGAATCATGAAAACCGTCCGATGATTTAGTTGTCATGCTGTTTGCTTTCTGTGTTTGAGTTGTGTCAAAGAAAGTGCCACTGTGCAAGGGGCCTAGCAAAGGCGCACGGCGGATGCTTTAGAGATCCAGTGCAAACCAGGGTCGTGCACATTTTGGTTCCACAACCATGCCCAGGACAATGCTTGAATGCCAGCGGGTTGGATCTTTTACCGTCAACTGCTTGGGAACTCAATGTCTTTCTGCCCTTCCTACCATTAACCCCGCCCTGGCCCTCCGCCGTGTTTACAAGCACTGCTTTTGGGGAAAGCGTATTAATAGTGCCCAGGGGAGCCCAGGTGGTACGGTCCCCTTCCAATTCGGGTCCCCCCTTTGCCAGGCGCAAATTCCGTCAAAATCGTATTCTGACAAGCAAGGATTGCTTATGAAATTGCTCAAGGCACGTGTTTTTTTCCGATTTGTCAATCCGATTTAAAAGCGACATTGGGATTAGACTTTGCAGTTTGAGCTTAAAATCAAGAAGTGCTGAAAGCACCCAGGCCTGTCTGGAGTTTTCTGTCGGTTTAGTGTTGGGTGGATTGAAGGTAAAAGGGGGAGAAGTCTTGTGCTGGGTTTTGGCCTGACAAAGCATATTGGTTAGTTGCTGTGGGTTTCTCAATAGGGGTACAGATTTATTTGCAAAAAAAGACTAATCTCTGTCATGGCAGGGATCGTAGCCACCAAGACTGGGTGTTGAAACGATGAAAGGATTTGGCTGAGCTTTTGTTTCTAACAAGTCCAGCTTTTTCTGTGGGTTTCTTGAAAACTGCCATCGTATGCTGAAAAGCAAATTTGCTTGGTGGGCGAGTAAAGGGACTGCATGGAGAAGCACTCAAACCTCCTCGGAAACCGAGGGAATCCCAGTTCACTTACCTTGTCGAGTTCATAAGATCCCAAAGGTTTACGCGGGAGATAGGAGTCAGCATTTGCGGTTGTTTCCACGGCAACCGCTGTTTGGCGTGGATTTTGTCCACCCACAGATTGCTTCTGAGGGTCACCCGCTGAGAAGGGCCCATGTATGCATTGGGATACAAATTGTATACATATGTATCTATATGTTGCTTTAAAGAAACATATTCTATATACATATGCGCACAGCTTTATCCTGCGAAACAACTGGTAATGTGCGTGTGTGTGTGTGTAAAGAGCCGGTGCCCCCTGACACGCGATATGTAGTGCCTGTGCGAGCAGGTAATGTGGATGAAGGTTAACATGTACATGTACATGTCGTATGCGCACGTGTTTTTCGCATAATGTAGATGTGAATAAACAAACGGATAACAGGTACATATACATATGCATAGAGAAACAGTTACATATATATTTTATTTGTATAAACAAAGACATATGCATATATATATATATATATCTACATGATTGCTTGGGCGTCCCAACTGGCTTTAGTGGATTCAGCACCTGAGCTCTTGGGCGGTTCAGGAAACGCGTACTCCGCGATCCCAGGTGGGCACACCGGCACATGCGCTCGGCCTTCCTGATGAAAGCGGAAGAGCCCAAGGCGCTGGCTGCAAGAGAGAAAGTTTGTATTTGGCTATGCTATTTTTCATTTTCCGACTGTCCTTGTTCACTTTGCGATGCAGAGGTGCCGGATTTAGGCAGCACGACCAAGTGGCGAGGGGCGGCGGCACCAGGGTGCAGCCCCTATAGCTAAAGCTAGCAGGCTAATTGCCTAGCAACATGCTATGTCAGGAAGCGTATCTGGATTAACCAGGCTCCCGCCTGCTGCCGCCGCCCCTCGGCAGTCAGGCTGTGGGTCGGGGCTGTCTGCAGTCACAAGCTCAAGCATGGCGGCTGGGACCGGTCCTGGGGCTGGTCCCGGGACTGGTCCCTTCATTGCTGTTGGGTCGGCATTAACGGAAAAGTCACACACTCGGGAGCCGTCCGTCAATCGCGGCTTGCGCCTGATTCGCACCCTCCCAAAGGTCCTCCCAGGGATCCTCCCAAAACTGGCCCTTGACAGTCAGAATCATGGGAGCCGTCCGTTAACTGCTGTCCTGCCGAAACTGGGCCTCTTGCTCTGGAGCGGCATTAACGGAAAAGTCACACACTCGGGAGCCCCGTCGGTTAATTGCAGTTTAAGACGACGCCTCATTCACATCAAGTTGCATCCGACGCCAGTCCCCTCCACCAACTGTCCTGCGGGTGTGTCCTGCAGGTACAAAAAATCATCATGGATTCCCTTTCACTTCATTCCAGTTGCATCCCACGCCGGTCCCCTCTCAGGAGGCTGGACGGGAGGCAGAGGAGCGGCGGATTTATTTTGGCGGTGGAAAACATGGTTTATCTTAACAGTTGGAGGTTGAACACATGATTTGTCAGGGCGTCCTCCATTTCGCACTTGGAACATCTTCCTCTGGAGACAAAGTGAGATGCTCCTTCAAAACTCTGGGCACATATCCTTGCACAAAGCCTGATGCTGCGCACACCGGAGAAGCGCGATAAACAATATGAAGCATCCCACTGGCCATTCCTTGCGCCGATTTGTGCATGTGTTTCAAAGCTTGGAGCCGCTGACAGGGCAACTGTTTTATCATGACTTGCCGCTTAGCCGACCGCCTCCTTCACCGAGTTCAGATCCGGGGGCCCTTTTGAATGGGATGCCACCAAACACAACCAAAAGGCTTGAGTAAGAAGGCCAAATATGTCGAGCAGGGTTGTGGACTGCATCAAGCCCTTTTGACACAAACAGTTAAGCAGCCTGGAGATTCATTCTCCATGAATTTCCTGGTAGTTCTCGTTCAAAACTACCAGAAAACCAAAACGCCTAGGAAAAGCCCGAAGAATGTTTGTCATGTGAATTGGCCACAGGGCCAATGAGTTTGGGGAGCTATGCATGCACTGTCCGCGCTGGACTAACCCTTGGTTGCAAAGCTGGAGAGAGCGCAAGCAAAAAACACCTTGTCATGGTTTCACTACATATCATCCCGCCCATTGTTCAGAACCCCCTTCCTTCTTCACCAAAGTTCACAGGCGTTTGTTGCGTTTGGCTTGAAGGGTTTCCCATAGTTTTTGGAGTTGGTGCCCTTTTCACAGAGTTCAAAAGGACACCAACAGGAAGGCCCATCCATTTCCGGGCCAAAAAGACGGTGTTTGCCATTGTTTGCCTCCCCACCTCTGCGCCACATGCTGAGTGGCGTGGGGAATTGCGTGGTGAGTCAAAGTGAGGGATCCCCTTGCGGGCCAAACGTTTAACTTGTTGTTCCTTAGTGCGAAAAACACCTCAAAGAACCAACCGGGACCCGATAGCAACTAAGAATTACTCGCCTTGTTCCTGAATACCACGCCCCTTCGAGAACTGGCGCGGGCGCGACGATCTGGGCACGTAATGCTCGCTCTTGCCATCATTGCCATGGCTCCGCAGAACTCGTTTCTGAAGATTGCCTAGACTTTGACGAACTCGTTGCTGAAAAATGCGATCCCAGGCGGAAACTGCCAAGGCTCAACTCGGTGGACTTGCAGCAAGAGCCAAACTCTGCGAACCTGCACTCACCGCAAGTTCGCAAACCAATGCCCAACACAGTGCAGCTTTACGGATGTTACGACTCGGGGGTAAAACCAGCTGATGAGGTACCTTGGGAGCCCAAAAAAACAGGGGGATACTTTTGCATCTCAACCTCACATTTCATTGGTTGCCTCTGTTGCACTTGAATCATGTTAATTTTCTGAATTATCCCTGGCTTGTCAAAGCAGGCCACTCCCCTTTCCCCAGCCCTCTCCTCACCCTCCAGTCTCTCCCTCTCGCTCTTCCTCCCCTCCCTCTAGCGTCTGCTTGTTTGCCTTGGTGTGACTTCACTGCCAAGACGGCCTGCCATTCTGCCATTCACAAGCAAGCGCTTGCTTGGGACAGCAGTTGCTTGTAAAGCGAAGCCAACCAGACTTTCATTGTCCAAAACTGACAAAGTACCCTAATCTCAAAGCTGTGCAGGCAGGGTGTGGCCTTTAAGCAACCTTATTCCAGGCGTTGAGTGGCCAAGATTTACCGAGAATCTGACCAGGTCTTGTTAAGCGCCATGGATGAGGCATGGCACGATGTCGACATGCCAGTGGCAGACGAGAGGAGTGTCAACTGTGCTGGCATAGAAGGCAAGGCGGCGGACACAGTGGGCAAAGCAAGCAGTGGCAGCAGTGGGCACAGTCACAGTGAGACGCTGGTCGACAACCAAGAAGCAGCAGCCGAACTGGCAGATTGGCTTGCAGAGATGGAGTTGACGAGCCCAAAGTTCCTTCGAGCGACGCCAGTATATTGCATCACAGCAGGCGCTGGTCGTGCGCTAAGAACCTCCTACAATTCTGCCCTCGTCAGCCAGGAAGTGGAGTTCATTCGCAAGTTTGTATCCCACAGCTGGCAGTCAAGACCTTTTTGGAAAACGCTGAGTTTTCCAGCTATCCAGTGACCTGCAAGCTTTTCTTTCACCTTCAAATCCGTGAGCAACTGCTATCCTTTTGTAGAGCGTTCCGGGATCCCTCACTTTCGGAGTTCCGTTTCGGACTCTAGTCACTTGAAAGTGTGGTTGCCAAAGTTTGGTGGTGACTAACAAGAGGTCTCTTTCTTTCTGGGTTGCCCTCCACTCGGGTTGTTTCCGGGATCCTGTCCAGTAACCCACGCGCCCAGGTTTGCTCTGTTTTTACAACTGGAAGCAAGCCGCAGTGGCCAGCTGCGGAAGTGCAACTCTCATGGCGCTTCTCTTCAGCTTGCGCCAATTGCCAGGCGACGCCAAAGCAAACTCCGAGGGTCCCTCTTTCAGCCAAACACACCGGAAAAAAACCAGCGAAAGAAGGGTGCCCCCAGAGGGGCGCCCCCTTTTTGGATGGGTTAAAAGGGAGCCAAAAGGAAAACCGCCACTTTTTGAGATAGGATCCACCTAAAAAGTGTTTTTTTCCTTCCCCGTTTGAAGCAACCCTGAGGCTTCATGAAAGTTGGCCGCCTCCAACAAGCCGTCTTTGTGGGGCCATGGAGTTTGTCTGCAG